AAATTGGTGTGATGTGGGCCAGCTTCCATATTTCCGGTAGTTTGCCTTTGCTTAGCAAGTGTGCAAACATCACGCTAAGTGGTGTCGCCAGGATTGAAGCTGCTTCCCTCAATACGGCGGAATGAACCATGTCCGGACCAGGAGAAGTGTCTTTTTTAGGTTCTGCAGTTTACGGAGCACCAAGTCAGCACTCAGGTGCACTTCGGAAAGTCCTGTACAGGTGCAGGTGAAGCTTTCGTCAGTATGGTTGATGTGGGTCAGTTGGAATGTCCGGGAGTAATGTTCAGCCAAAAGGTTAGCGGCATCACTGTCGTTGTTGGCCGGGCCATTAGGACCAAGCAGTTGGGAAACTCCAGTTTTGCCTTGTCGAAGAGAAGCTGCATAACTGAACAAGCTTTTCGGATTGGAGACGAATCTATCGATAAGCTTGGTCTGGAACTGAAGCCTGTCTTCTCTTATTGCCTTTGTGCATGTGTTCCTTATATGTTTGTATTGCCTGTACGCGCCGTTGTTATCCGTTCGTTTATATTCAGCCCAACAGTGCCTTTTGCGGCTTAGCAAACGACGAGTGCGGTTCTTGATGATTGCAGGTTGCTTGTAGCTTTTTGGGACCATTTTAGGAACTGAATGCTCAGTAGCACATAAGATCGTGTGCAGTAAAAAATCCCAATGAGCATCCACTTCAATTTCAGGGCGAACATTCCAATCCACCTGTTGAAGATAGTCCTGTAAAGCTAACACATTCAACCGTTTGAAGTTCCAGCGCTTGTTGCTAGTAGGATATCGTAGCTCCGTCTTGCTGACAAAGCTGAATGATAAGACGGCGTGATCACTTTTGCCCAGGGGAGCCAGGATTGAGAGGTCGTCAACTAGGAATTCTTCGTTTGTGAATACCCAGTCTAAGCGTGACGGCGTCTGACTGTTTCTCCAACGGGTTGCCGACTTCACATTTTCAAATAATCCCAGGTCGCCGATAAGGTTGAAGAACAGAGCTTCAGTAGAGTTGGCACCACCAATGTATGTATGTTCCACGAAGTTGATTCTAGGGAGATTGAAATCCCCTAGAATCAGGATATGAGAGAATCCAAGACGCGTAGAGCGAGTTAATCCTTCCAGCATACGTTTGTCATATTCGATGTCGGCAGTGGGCTTCCTGTAAACGACCCCAACTAGGCACCTCGAGGTGGTAGATAATCTTACTGAGCACCATACTGACTCGTCAAGATTGTGAAACTTTTGATTGTGAAGTTGGTGCGCATCCAGGCATGATCGTACGTATAGTGCTACCCCACCCCCCATTCCTGTTTTTCTGTCGTTGCGAAATAAAGACATCCCAGTTATTGCTAACTCTTGGTCCGTAAACTGAGACGTTATCCAAGTTTCGGATATTCCTATCAGATGGGCATCATTAGCGTTGCTAAGTTCACGTAGCTCATCCATTTTGTTTGGCAAGCTCGCGGCGTTCGTGTATAGGCAGTTTATGCTTTCAATTTGGAACGCGTGAGCCTCTTCTTGTTTGTCTATATGAGCCGTGTGTGAGTGGACAGGTAGCCTACCTATACGATGTTTACCGAGTTGGTAGTCCCTGTCCTTTACACGTTTTTTTTATGATCAAGACAGTCCACGAGTGGAATTGTCAGCTCCAGCTTTCGTTTGTGCTTGATCCTGCTGTCGTGGGGCCTTTCCGGATGCATATGGATGCCAGTTGGCAACCGACGTCTATTGGCACGAAATGCTTCCAGAGTTGCAGCCGCCATGTGGGAGGAGGGGAAGGTTATCTTCAGCAGCCGGGGCCTAGAGTCTCCGTCTCCCTTGGCCAGTCTCATTACCTGTTGGGTCAATATGTTCTTGAGTTTTAAGGAATACTTGATGAATTTCCATTCCCGAATATCAGAGTTTGCTTGAGCTGGGTCCGTATTTTCCGGCACACCTTGCACAATGATATTTCGTCCACGGAAGAACGCCTCGCGAGATTCCTTAGGGATGTTCCGGATGAGATTTCGTTCAGAATACGGTATGTCGGGCAGTATTCTTACGTTCCCATCGGACCTCAGTAAGTGACTGGCTAGCAGGACGTCCTCTACGTCGGAGGCATTCTTAAGTGTAACACGAAGCAGCCTCGGGTGGTTTAGGTGGTCAGAGTCCTTCCCCCGAGTGAGCCGTGTGACGGTCAGCAACAGTATTGAAGACGCACAGAACTATTTATTTCAGAGATTTATTTATCTCCACATCGGGAACGTAGGGAGTTGCAAACACCTTTTATTTCATCAATAACCACTTAAACGAAACAGCTGTTCCATATCTATATATATCTTAAGAATACGGCCACACCATCAGCTATCTAAAACTTTTATCCAAATAAAAGAGAATTATCTAACGTTGCGATATTTTAATGATTTACAGACACCGACGGAACATCTAGATATTCGGTCATTCTGAAAACATGCGATGGATTCCAAACATTTAAAACAAAGAATGCCCAAATTCAATCTAACTGCTCAAGGTCGTCAGTACGACCTAGGGGATTCCAATCACAAGTTGACGCTTATTGTCTGCAGCTTTGTTTGAAATGTTCCAGGTACGACTTATGTCGTCCTTATAAAGAACCCTTTTTAGCGCTTCAGACTTTTAAGAACTCTTCCCAGATTAGTGCATACCTATGTACTTCCAATTCAATGCATCGCAAATAAACAACAATTGATAAGCTCACACAACTTAATAAATCTTCAACCTAAGGCTGCTGATACTAAGTTTATCCTCCCTGGCTCTGTTGGACTAATCAATTACGACAAAAGCGAGTTTGAAACACTCATTCTGAACACAATCGGATTGAGCCAACCCATTACATTGCCATCTCTACCGAATGTTATTCCCATCGAAGTGAAAAATGATATCAAAATTCGGAGGCGAAAAATGAAGAGGCATCAGAAAAAAAGGCTACATAAACGTCATGCTGTGTTGATACGAAAGCAACAGATGATGCGTAATAAAAAAGAGGAAAACAAATTGCAGCAGTTACTTGAATTCTGGAGAATCCGTTCAGAAGCATGGGATCCAGTCGTTAAGGTGGAAAATCGACTGCATTTAGCCAGAAGGTCCGGTTATTATGTAGATATACTCAATACTAAAGGCAGTCCATTTTTCAAGGAATAAATGTTTAGTACTAAATCTTACTTTCTTGATTCCCCATAAGTTTATGTGAACAAATTGTAAAAATCTATATTTCAGGAACCAATAGGTCAACTACATACCAAAGATCTATCAAATCCTATACATGCGTCCAAATGCGGCCAAGAAGCATTGCAAGATATGCTAAGTGGGTTAAGAGACTTAATGTTGCTGTTCTACGCGTGCATGGATCCTAAAACCCGCGGAGTGAGTGCTCACCAAGCATCTATCGCTGGACCACAATGTGTCGAAACATTGCGGCAGATGAAAAGCAACAAAGAACTTCTTAAACAGGTATTGCTGATAAATAATTTTAGATGTTAGCTTTGTCTACTGTTATTAGTAACGGTGAAAGATTTGCAAGTCTGACTGTTACATATGAAGACTAGCGTTGTAGCTTTAATGGTTACTTTTCAAGTCATTATCAAACCAAGTAGTTTAGAGTAATTAAGTGAATCAACACCGGTCGTTGTCTTGGACTTATAATTGCAAAGATATGCCACCGGTTACAGTGTTCGACTCAAATAATGGGTTAACATCGTACAGCTATCATGCACAAGACTGTTAGTCTCGTCCTACAAGTAGTAGAAATGTCCGCTCCAGAATGTATTTGGGTACTCTTCTCAGCTGTTCAGGGAGCAAATATAAGTACCTGAATCTAAGCGGCTCTCACTCCCCAATTTTAAGTCACAGTGTAAGCTAGTACATACCATCCGCCAAAAAGCGACTCATGTGGACCACCAACCCCTTTTATACTAACATGTGAGCATTCCCGACAAATTGACGCATCAAAATCACAATTCCGTTCCGATTGTCTTAAATAACGGTGCAACCAGTCTTTATTTCCAACTGATTTGGGATCTAGCAATAATTATCGGATACTCAAATAAATTTGAAGTCGTTTCAGTATAAGAACTAAATTCCAGTCGCCCATAATTTGTAGAGGCACTTTCTTGTTCATTACGAACTAGTAATTACTCATCGAAAGTTAACTTCACTTTCATTCTATGCCAACATGCATTGAGTTGTGGAAATCAACCAGTTCGCAAAGCGAAACTGTACAAGCAACGTAAACACCAACTCTCGTATTGAGCATATTCCCACTACACACAATCTACTATACGCTTTATACGAATATTCGTCAATATTAGAACGAATAGTTTGACGAAAATTGGGCGCCGAGTATAGAAAAGTCATTATGTGTGGAAATTATATTTTGAATAATCTCAGCGACTGAAATCTAGGTAAGCTTTGTTCCCATATATTAGCAATGTACAAATCGGTGCGGAGGTTCGGTCGTTCATGTTCTTAATTTAGAATCCAGTATAAGTGCGAAAGTACTCCATAAGCTGAGTTTCGCACTGCTTATTTTGTTAAATGTAACTTATGTACATGGATCAACATGATCTTATTGTATCATTTCCTATTCTATTTTAGGCCTTTCATGTAGTAAAAGAAAGCTGTGATCGCTTACTTCCTGCTGACATTTCTGACCTTGTCCCTTATATAGATACCCCGATAAAGAACAAAGAACCAAGTCCTGAATTAAAGCAACTAATTATAGCTCGTGAGGAAGTGACCAAAAGGTTACTAACAGTAACAGAAGAACTTGAAAAACTACGTCGCATTTTAACAAAGACAGTGTGGGAACTCAACGACCTTACTGACTTAAATGTTCAAAAATTTTGATTACTATTTTGTCTGGTATTTGTATTTTGCTTATGAGACATAGACATACAAATGCAGGTTATGAATTTTTTACTTTGCGCACATCTTTACTCTTATTAAATAGGACACTTGATTCATAGTGATACAAGTTTTTAGTTCGAAGTGCAAGCAATTTTTCAGTTGTTTTACCAATGCACGAAATTCGAATATTCTATGAAGAACCCTGATGTTACGCTCTCTAAATCCAGTGAATTAGCTGCTAAATTCTTATTACGGTTTTGAGCATCTCCATCGCCTACCAATTTCATCCATTTGAGGAATCGCTCATTACCTTTAAGACTAACCCATTTCAGTAAAATCAAAATCTGAAGTGACGAAAGTATATAGGTCCATCAGTACTAGTTATCGTTGTTATACAAGTTTCTGGCGCTGCAGTGATCAAAAAGTAATTCAAACTTTACAACATGGAAAAAGAACCATCATTCGGAAGCTAATCTAAAGTGTATTTCCAAGTGTTGGAACTGAAAGTTGTTAGACATCTTTCGCTGCATAAATAGGCCAAAATGTTTGGGGGGGTTTGTCGATCACAAGAAATGTTCATCCAGCTTTTATACGACACAAGAATACGGTAAGGATTCACACCACATCTTAAACGGCAACATAAACAAGTTCTAAATACTGCCATACGGATACGCAAATTCCAGGGTAAGATATTTTCGAGGCAGGGGTACCTGTAGAACAACCAAAAAGAGTTTGAAAAACACGGAATCACTACCTAAGCGTTATTGAGTCTAACAATGTAACTTTCATTTGAAGTGTATACCGTAAATTTACTGCGGATGAGATTTTCTTAGAATCCATGCATACAGTAGTTTTCTTGTCAACTAAACGCACACAAAAACAAACTTATTAGATACAGGATAGCTTATGTGCTAAATAAATAACCCACAAATTGGTCATATTAGTGAAGTTGCGTTTCTGAGTTGAGTGGTTTAACTGCAGAACTTTCATTGTCCCGAACTAAATCGTCGGTGCATACTTGGGAATGAAGCTGATCGTTAGGATTTCTCCACAAAGGATTAGTACTTTCTGTCAATACTGAATTTCATTGTCAACATGTGTTGCTATGTTTCGCACTTCTTTCAACCACCATCGCCTTCAACCTGATTTCTAACTTTGTAGTTGTGTATATTTGTAAACGTTGATTTTAATATTCATCAGTTATTGAGTATCTAGCAAGTGCTAAATCGCAAGGAAACGATTATTAGTAACGGCTACTACCAGCAAATAATTATGAAATATCTTGACATGTCCTGATAATTTTTTAGCTTACGAAACTGGAATATGAAAAATACGTACAGAAACACATACCAATTACTACGAAGGAAACTTGTTGACGCACAGCTGAGCAATGTCAAGGCAACACCCCTTGGTTTAACAGCCAAATCAGAAGGTAGAAACGGATTATTGTACACTACTAGCTGGTTTAGTTGACGAGAAGGTAATATAGATGGTAAAGAGTCCAATTTATTATCATTCAAAATAAGCACAGAGAGACGATCTAATTTGTGCAGGAAAGCAACTGGGACACCTCTCAGTTTGTTATCTGTCGTAAAAGTACAGGAAAATCGCACTATAGTATTATGATTTTAAAAATTTGCTGACAATTAAGTAAATAGAAAGATCTTCACTGAATCAATGTTTGGTTTTTATTAATGTCTATGCTCCCACTGTTTGCACTGAACATTTCCCCGAAATAGAGGTCTCTTGTTGAGATACGCACTGAATCCTTGACTTTCCAGTTAACGCAAGATGCATTCGCAGAGTTTTATTTATTTATTTGTACACATAAATATTGGTACAAGGGGAGGCATTCGCAAATACTATAATCGTAATATTTGTGAGAACAAGATATGATGAAAAAAATTATTATAAGACACTCATTTACACTAGTGTTCCTCTAAAGTAGATTTACACTCTAATTATAGGATATAATCATGGTTATTAGAAAGTTTCTTATTTGAGCCATCGAACATAAAGCAGAATTAAAAGGACCGTTGATAGAGAATCGTCTTTAGCTACTGTTATGAACTCAACTTTTTAAACATTTCACAGTGATGAGTAAGTATGTAAGAATATTTTCAAAACCTATAAGTGATGATTGTAAGGTTTACTAGTCATTGTATTTACTTGTACTTTGTAAGGAACGATACAAGGGCGCAACGAACATTCCAGTCTTCTTTTAACAATATGCTTGAGCCAAATAATAGTCATTTTTAAACAGTTTGTATGACAAGCCTTAACTTTGCAACCATATCACCCAATTATATTTCGATAATGCAATGAGAAGACGAAGGTTATCAGAATTACGTGATATATCTGCGTAATTAAATTTATTTCTCAAAATTACGTTGGTACTTAACTTCCTATTTACTAGATGTGTAGCAATTTGAATCTTAGTTCTACTCTGTTCAAACAGTTAGATTAAGTTTCGAATTCTTATCAGATGCCAACTATTTTGTTTATCCTTATTATAAACCTTATTGACATTCAGCAATCTAAGAGTTAAAATATATCTTTAAAATTTAAATGAACCTGAAAGACCGTTTGGTCAATAACAGGATATTCTGAGTTCTGCACAGCCAGTAATCCAGCCCACAAAAAATGACTATTATGAAAAGTCTATTTATGTACTATTTCAATAAACAATACATTTTACGATCAGATCTACGTGACTGTAAATTAAATAGTTCGCTGTTTAATTTTTGCTAACCATATTTGGGAAATAATTGCTACAGAATGACAATCTCCACTAGGTTTAAGCGGACTACTAACATTAGTTTTGAGTGTGAATACATCTGCCATATTGAAAGCCTAAGAACATGTTTTAACTAACGCCATAGATACATCAGACGCTCAGGAACAAACTAACAAACAGTTTTTATCGACTTATGTTTACTAGAGGGTTTTTACGATCGTTTTATAACGTTCATATCAGTTTTACTTCTAAGGTTTTTGTTTCAAGTTTAAAATCACCAGCTTGAAGACGAACGGATTGAGGTTGATGCCGAACGGAACAATCATTTACATAATTTTATAATTATAGAAAGTATTATTTTTCAAAATGGTAGAGTGGTTGTGAAATTATATGGGTTCATATACATTTTAACTTAAAAAACATCGATGAGAATTTATACGGATTTGTAATAAGCAACGGAAACCGCCTACTTAAAAGGATCTATTATTATGACAAGAATATCAAAATTGGATTTCTGATGAAAAGAGACAGTTGTTCTAAGCTTATTTATCAGTTCCCTCGTTGATTTTTAGACAAGCATATGTTTGAAAACATGATATTGCTTGAAACAATATTTGCTTTTTACTTCCACTATTAACGTAAAATCTCATTACACAGACATGGTGAAAATACGAGGTTTTGAATGTGACAATAATTGGGGATCCAGATTACCCACTTCGTTTAAAACTGACAATACTGTAAAAATTATCAATCAATAGTGACAACAACTAACTAATCACCCATACTTTATTTGATAGAATTTTAAGTTCCCCCAACAGGAAAAAAAGGATTGAAAAAGAATACACCTCATCCAAATTATGTCTAATTGGGACATATTGTTACTTTGAAGTACCATTAGGTAAGACTCACGCATAAATATAATTTAAGATAAAATAAACCAACTACCAATATGATAAATAAACTGAAGCTTACTCGAAAGGTTGACGTTCCTAAGGTTCTTAAGGACCCAAAAATCATCTGGCAACCAAGTTAAATTGTTGCTGCTCAAATCAATAAGTTCCAGGGTTTTAGTCAGTGGTGAGCTTTCAGAAATTGACGGCCATCTTGTGATGTGATTTTTACATAAACACAAATGAGCCATATTGAGGTTTTGTACTTCTTGAGGAATTTTTTCCAGTAAATTATCACTCAAGTCAAGGAAGCGCAGACCATATAGTTTGAGAAGTCTTGTATCAAACTGACGCAACCTCAATCCTGCTGCAACTACTTCATGCAGAGATATACTGAAGCCTTGAGAAAAAGGATAGTCTTCTCGTCTTGTTATAACTAGCCGGCGATGACCTACTTTCCGAATCTAAATGTTTTATTGACCTGTAAAATGATATACTTCATTTGTAGCAGGCCTGTTGCTGAGGATTCCAATGGGTATTTTGTTACCTGATTTTATAAGGTTTAAAATTTTTACCAGCTTCATCAAATCCGAGAGTTCAGCCTATGATAACAAAGTGGAAGAAACTTCAATAAGACTAAGGTTTACAAATGGGTTAGTTCAGAAGTCTGTAAACAGGCTTCTGCAAACAAATTAGGATTGCGATAAACTGGTAAACTAATAGAAGATGCATAAAAACTACTTTCATATGAACTACCCAGAACAAACTAAAAAACTAAGATATAGTAGCTTTTATCTAATTATACACCTGTGCGATCTATACTAACTTAGAATAAATATATTATTTTTGTCTTTTCAATCATTCTTTCATCTAGATACGTGATATTGAGTATGTCTTTATGACAGTAAAAAAGTATTTATGTACTTGTATCTTTCATGACTATAAATGTTTTATATTTAATAAATTGACTAGGGCTGTTTGCCTTCTGCAACCCGCACCTGTTTGTATTAATTGGTGTCTGAAATACAAGCGTCCGAAATTCCTTTCTTATTCGGCTTTTAGGTCGACAAGACATAAGAAATCAATTAAGATATATTTCTTATAAGCGTTAATATCGTTCGACAATACATGTGTCAGGCAAATACATCAGTCAGTCACAACGTAGAACTTCGTACATACGTAAATCAGTTCGAGTTGCCATACCACATTAGCACAGAGATGAAGTTGTCGATTCAAATCCCATAGTGGTAGAAGTAGTAGGAGTATAATCGGAAATCCAAAAGATTAGGGTTTGAAGAAATTATTGAAGGAGTATAGTACAGTGAAATAAATTTGGAAAGAGAAAAAGATAAAGACATGAGGAATTCAGAAGATTAGAATTTGGTAGAACACAAAGAGTGGATGCAACTTCGCCATTGCAAACGATTTTGAGCTATATCATTCAAGGTCTTTAACCATCGATTGCTATCATCTCGCGGACCCCAACCAGATAATCTACACCTACCAACATGGCACAGTCCACTTGTCAGTGACTTCATGGATTTGTACCACACTTTGGGCTGGCCGCTTCTAGCTTTCTTCCAACCTACTCTTACACCATAAAACATCGCCCGTCGGTGGTTGGGCATACGTAACACGTGTCTCAGCCATCTCAACTGATGAAGTTTCACTACTTCATCAATCGATTTGCCATCCTTACCTAGTACCCGTTTCCTAACAACTGCATTACTTACCCGGTGGTCCCAGGATAAACGAGCAATGCTTCGAAGACACCTATGATCAAATACTAATAACCTACAAATATATTCTACTCTTGCCGGCCATGTTTCACAGCCATAAAGTAGGACAGAAGGAACTGCTGCACAGTAAACCCGTCCTTTGGTTGCTAGACGGATACCTTGCCTACATCATAAATGACGCATGCTGGCAAAGCTAGACGAGCCTTCTGTATCCGTGCTGAGATTTCGTCAAACACCAGACCACAAGGGCTGATGAAACTCCCAAGATAAGCAAAGCGGTCAACACGCTCAACTACTTCACCCCCTATTATTAGTCCAGTGCCGATGCAACTCAATCCTGAAGTAACGTTTTGCACTTCGAGGGGGGAGAATCCCATCCCGAACATGCCTGCACTATTGAGATAAGTTAACATATGGTTTATGGTACTTGTGAATATATCGGAGAACATGTATAATTGCACGTTATATAAACATACCTTTGTTAAGTAGGAATCCCAACAATGCTGAATATAATCAGATTAATATGGCTCAATCGAAAACCGTTTGATGTATAAAATTCTTAAATATTGACTGGGTATAACTGTACTAAATAAACATTATCTATCAAGACGATACTGAGGAAAACACCTGATATCTAACCGACTTTGAAAATTCCCTTTTTACTACTACCTTAAAGTGAAGTTTCTTTTCGAATTCGCCAACACTATATACAAGAAAGTCAAACTGACTGAAATACAGTTAATGTTGTCTTTATGATTGGAAATAGACAAACATAAATGAACCAATCTTGATGGAAAAATGAATTTATCATCGGTCACAAGTGTACCATCACAAAGTAATAGGTAAATGCAATACAACTTATCGACAACAGTGATGGTTTGACCTTGTGTCTGAATTAATGTCACAACTATCAACATACATGTTCTTCAAAACGGCCAGTGAACTCGCATACAATAAACAATCGTCTGCAGAGTGAAATACGGACAAAAAGAAACCAATTCACCAAACATCAAGAACATAGGTTATAGTATCTGTAGCAACCTTGCTTACAGAGAAACAAATATACCTGATGAATCATTATAAATTTAGGGGGAATTTTCAGACGGATCGTCAGGTTTCCTTCTTTAACATGATTGGTGAATAGCCTTTCAATGTTTGCTGAGATCTGAAACAATGTCAACATTTAGTACAACTAGGAAATACTTTGAATTTCCGACACGTATTTGAGGAAGATTCAGTGATGAAAATAATGGCATCTCCATTTTCATCGCAAAGTGATAAGACACTTTGCTTAGGTTTACATTTACTACGATGACAAGTCTCTAAATCCGAAACCAACACCTTTGAACATATTCTCATGACCGCCAGCTGCAAAGTATCAGACATGTGATGTATGGAAACAATCTTCACATACTAAATCAGCTTCAATCGTGCCTAGCAGAAATAATGAGCTTTATTACTTTGAATCTGTGTTCTGTTAGGAAAAAAGCATTCTTAATGATGGAAAGCTATGTTTCTTTTGATTGTTTCTGGAACGACAAGTTCTTTATTATTTTAATATTCAGTAAGTATTTCTTTACACTTTAGCAGCTTAGAATACCATGTAAATATATATCTTTTACAATGTATCTGTATTTCGTCCAGCATTTAAGGATGATTAATATTCGTATGCTAATGACATATAAATACAGATAAGAAAGAATACACCATAAATTGATTCGAGACTAAGTATCAAATGAAGTTACGCAATATTCAAGGGGCAAGGAAGGGTGAAAATAATTCACGGGTCGGATAGTTACTCAAGCGACAGATATAAGGAAAAACGACAAACATAAAGTCGCAATAATAAAAGCTGAATAATAATCAAGGGTAATAATAATGACTGAATACAATTCAAAATTACGAAATACTAATTTAAAAAATCAGTGACAATCACGGATGTGTTTAGGATTATATCCACTTTGAAACACATCAATGTGTATCAATAAATTTACTTGCTCATGTGGGGCAGTTTACAATGACCTCAAAAAGCGATCGCTTTCCAAACGCATCTCAGAACACTATCTGACAAGGCTTTTAAAGCAATTACTAGTTATATACATGAGCATTTAACCAACTGTGGATACCTCGCTCCAAAAGAGTCTTCTTTCAAAGTAATCTACACATTCAAGTATTGGATAGAGGTAAAGTCGAATAAATATCTTATGTACTGCTGAGGCATTAGCAATCTACTAACTCAAGCCCGCACTTTGCGTGCGAAAACAATTCGTCCCACCTCTCATTCCTCCTTGGCCTTAATAATAATAATAATATATTTCTGCATTAGCAGGTACACGCCATTTTTACAGGCATGATCTACAATTTACAACATATACCGGTTCACAGTATGCATCCCAAGCAAGCTTGTTTAGTAATTATAATCTATAAAAGTTGATAGCAGTTCATTCGTTCAGATATAATGTGTTTTCATAAGAATAGTTTCCAAAGGGGCATAGCGTCCACGTTATATACCAGATCCAATCTCCACAAAAATTGTAATAGGGTTTCGGTAGTTTTAAGTATTTATGTAATGCAGCTTTTTAAGTTTATAGTTGTTATAAAGTGGGCTTGTGGAGCGCCTGGTTCGAGCTATGACCTTGGGAAAGCGCGTTCGTCAAGCTTGTTCCAGATGTCAGAAGTTACATAGCTTCACCCTCAGAGCAAGATTCTGAAGAGAAAAAATAAAAGAGAAACCGAGGAGCAGCAAGGCATTTGGATATGAGCGATAATCAATGCTTAACATTTATTAGTGGAACAGATGGAGGTATGATAAATTATTAGATTAAATTGATACTAGCTTATGTTGCAAGAGTAAACTGCGATTAGGGGCTCCAGAAGAGAGAAGGCAGTAATAAAGAACAATGAGTTGTGATATTTAACAAGGTGGAGTAGGTTCCAATGAAGGAGGGAAGTCATTGGAATGAGGAAGAACAGAGAGTGCATATAGAGAGTAGTGTTAAGTAAAATAGCAACCATATCCTTTACAGTCAGTTTTTTTTCTTTTCTCATCCGATGCCTGCCACACAGTGATCATGTAAAAGTCCGAGTTAGCATGTTAAAGGTTGTCTTAGTAGAATAGTTAATCCAGCACAAAAATTAGAAACATGAGTCTGAATGGTGAGTGTAGGTGAACAATCTCAATATCACAGATCTATTGACTTGTTCTCATCCATGAAGAGCCTGATACAAACAAAATGTTCTGCCCCACAAACACGGGTGGATTGAAATCATCGCCCACACCATCAGTGCTTGCTGGTCAGTAACTCCACCCTCCCTCCTTTTGTGATGTTAGGCTCATTTACGCTTATTTTTTGGATACATATCATACCTCACACAATGCTCTGTGTTTCACATCCTGTTGGAAAACACTATTTCTATAAGTACCATGTTACAAGCTTATTAGACAGTTACAAATTATGGACTGTGGGTAAGGCTTGGATGCAATGTTTTTATTGACTATAGAGTGAAGTGTAGGTTACGAATCAGAGTATAGGCATTAGGAAGGGTATAGTGTAGGATATTTCTTTACCATAGTAGGCGGAAAAGTGGAGATTTATATTAGTTACAGATAAGGTAAGATAACGAGTGGTGAAATAATATTAATGGCAAGGCAACATAGTGTACAGATGAGTAAAAAACTGATAAATAGACAAGAAGTAACTCACACTAAATTCGCGCTGAGGTTGTTTTGTTCTATGCTAATTTTATAATGAATTAGATGTAAATATTTATTTGACTCTCCCCTTTCATATGTATATATATATATATGTGGATTGGGCACACTTTGAGGAAATCACCCAATTGCGTCACAAGACAAGCCCTCACATGGAATCCTGAAGGTCGAAGGAGAAGAGGAAGACCAAAGAACACATTACGCCGAGAAATAGAGACAGACATGAGAAGAATGAACAAGAACTGGAAAGAACTAGAAAAGAAGGCCCAGGACAGAGTGGGTTGGAGAAAGCTGGTCGGCGGCCTATGCTCCATTGGGAGTAACAGGCGAAAGTAAGTAAGTAAGTAATATATATGTCATGGAGCCCGGTCTTATATCTTACTTATATACTAACGCCTGTTACCCCTCGTAAAGGAGCATAGGCCACCCACCAGCATTCTCCATCCAACTGTGTGCTGGGCAATTCTCTCCAGTTATTCCCAGTTGTTATTCATCCTTTTCAAATCTGTTTCAATCTCCCTGCGTAATGTGTTCTTTGGCATTCCTCTTTTCCGCTTTCCTTTCGGATTCCAAGTTAGGTATTGTCTCGTGATACAGTTTGGTGATGTCCCTAATGAATATCCGATCCACTTCCAACGTCTTTTCCTAATTTCCTCTTCATCTGGAAGCTGGTTTGTCCTTTCCCATAAAACACTGTTGCTGATAGTATCCGGTCAGAGAATGTTGAGTATTTTGCGTACACAATTACATATAAATACTTGAAACTTCTTGACGATGGATGTAGTAGTTCTCCTCGTTTCAGCTCCGTACAGTAGGACTGTCTAAACGTTCGTATTCAATATTCTCACTTTGAAGTTAGTTGACAGTTGATTTGAGTTCCATATGTTCTTCAATTGTAGAAATGCTGCCCTTGCTTTGCCATTCCTCGCTTTTACATCTGCATCCGGTCCCCCTTGTTTATCAACGATGCTTCCCAGGTACGTGAATGTTACCACCTCTTCCAGAGTTTCGCCATCAAATGTAATTTGGTTGGTGTTCTCCGTGTTGTATCTGAGAATCTTGCTTTTTCCCTTGTTTATGTTGAGGCCTATTGATGCAGAGGCTGCTGCTATATTTGCTGTCTTCGTTTGTATTTGTTCATGTGTATGAAATAGAAGGGCCATACCACCTGTGAAGTCCAAATCGTCTAATTGGTTCTGAGTTGTCCATTGTATTCCGTGTTTCCCCTCAGACGTCGAAATCTTCATAATCCAGTCAATCACCAGAAGAAAGAGAAAGGGGGAGAGTAATCGGCCTTGTCTGACTCCGGTCCTTACTGAAAATGCATCTGTCAGCTGTCCTCCATGCACGACTCTGCACTGTAGTCCATCGTATGAGTTCTGGACAATGTTGACAATCTTCTGAGGAACTCTATAGTGTTGAAGAAGTTTCCATAATGTTATCCTGTTCACACTGTCAAACACCTTCTCATAGTCAATGAAGTTGACATGTAGTGATGAATTCTACTCAACTGATTGTTCAGCGGTGATCCATAGTGTCGCAATCTGGTCTGTGCACGACCGATCCTTACGGAATCCAGCCTGTTGATCTCGAAGTCCAGTGTCTACTGCGTCTTTCATCCGATTCAGCAGCACTCTGTTGAAAACTTTTCCTGGTACTGTGAACAAACTGATGCCTCTGTAATTCTCGAATTCGCTCAGATCTCTTTCTTTTGGTATCTTGATAAGGTATCCTTCTTTCCAGTCTGTTGGCACTTGTTCCTCTTCCCAAATCTTCTTGTATAGAAGGTGAAGTATATTTGCAGTTACTTCAATGTCTGTCTTCAGAGCTTCAGCTAGTATATTGTCAGGTCCTGCCGCTTTTCCACTTTTGATTTGTCTGATGGCCATCTTGACTTCTTCGATCGTTGGTGGAGTGACATCTATCGGAAGGTCATTGTGTGCTGCTTCGATGTCCGGTGGATTCAATGGAGCTGGACTACTCAACAGTTCCTCGAAGTATTCTGCCCATCTTTTCCGCTGTTCTTGAATCTCTGTGGTAGTGTTTCCTTCTTTGTCCTTGACTGGTCTCCCCGGTTTGCTATATCTCCCTGCCAATTTTTTCGTTGCATCATATAATTTTTTCATATTCCCTTCTCTTGCAGCTTTTTCCTCTGTCGTTGCTGTTTTTTCTGGTTAGCGTTTTTTAGCGACTTAGTTTTTCTACGGGATGGGGTCGCTAACCCCATGTCCAACCCTCCTCCTTTACCCGGGCTTGAGACCGGCAGTAACTCTAGAAGAGCTACAGGTATAGTTGGTCATATATCTACGTATCTAATAACATGAATCTTAATGTTTGAATAACAGCATTACAAATGGTGCTTAAGGGGTACTAGTGTTTTGATTCGCAGCTTTGGGAACGAGTTGGAAATTACATGATCATATCGTCATTTGTAGTAAATAGTGCTAGTAAACTCAGTTATAATAAATATAGGCAGAAGATAAACGTAACATCATGCAATATAAATGTGATCACAATGTGATCGATTCTGGGCCATGTTACCCGGAGTCTCCAACCATTCGTTGCGATAGTCACGCGGACCATAACCAAGTAGTCTCCGTCCTCCAACATAGCCTAGACCAAAAGTTAGTGACTTCAAGGACTGATGCCACGTCTTGGTTTGACCGCCTCTAACTCTCTTCCAACCATCCCCTACACTAGTCAGCATTGCGCATCTCCCTTGTTTCAGATTAGCTATAGCTTTCTAAACTTCAACTAGAGTCGGGAGACCTTCTTTAATATTCCATTCGGGCTGTTTGGGAATGGTGGGTAGTTGTAAAGTAAGTGAAGGCCAGCTAAAATGTTCTCTAAAGCGTTCCGCTCGCCGTTCTAAACATCCGGCCTGAGAGAAGAGATTGTCTCGCTTACACTTGACCTTTTAATTCCAGTTTCTTTCATTAGTCTGAAGAGTTGCATACAGCCATTGCCGTTTCCATCTCTTTTGCTTCGGTTGCCCACCACAACTCACGATCGTTCCTTAGACTTCCCGTTAACCTAGATCTAATTTGTTTTTGCTCTACATCGTGTTCGGAGCCAGATAATATGAGTTTATGGGAATCTATCAGTGCAATAGACTTAACGAAGATCCATTGGTTTTTTGGAACCCTTTGGTTTAAATCACTGACAGATGTTACTGCTGTTTCCACATCGGTTTGCATATCTTTCCGAGCAACATCTGGGCCAGTCTTGTTTACAGAACTGCATAAATGTGAACTCAGTTGTTCCTAGAACTTACTTTTGACTTTCTTGTCACTCAGTTCAATTCTAATGGGTCTTCTTAGTATAGTTTTCCTGCGTCCGATGAGGCGCAAACAAATGCGTGCTCGTATTAAAGCGTGATCAGAGTCTGAACATGTATTTCAGTACGAGCGACAATCTTCTATCGAGTCTCTCCAACGATGACTGATGACAATATGGTCTATTTGAGTCCATCGTTGGTTTGGTGAAGATGGTCGCCATGTTAGACAATGTCTCTCCTTATGCTTAAAGTTAGTGTTTGCTAAAAATAAACGATTGTCTGAGCATAGTTGCAACAGACGATCACCATTATCTGTTCGCTGAGCCTGAATACTAAAATACCCAACTAAATGTCTTTCTGTTTGATTTAAGCTGCTTAATTGGACATTAAAGTCACTCACTACGAGAACTAGGTTTGAGCGCTTAGCTTTTTGTAGAAGCTCAGAGAGCTTTCTGTAAAAGTCATCTTTCACTTCATCCGGGTTACAGTCAGTGGGGGCGTAGTCAGAAACGTCGGAAAGGCAATGACGTTTGTCCCTTTACATCCGAGTTCTTACGGAGCCATTTAGCCGAACTGCACATAGGCGACTGTTAATGGGGACCCACTCTAATAGTGCTTGTTCTGCTCTTGTACTTAGTGCTATGCCTACACCTACAAGTCCACGAGAACTAGCTATCAAGTTGCCAGATAAACGGGGGGTGTATCTCGTAGGCTCTCCATTTCGGAGAGGTGAGGTCAAATGAATGTCCACATTAGGACACTGTATGCGTTTCGGAGACACAGCATACATCAATCGTACGAGATTCTAGGGTTTCAACGAAGGAGGCTTGTTGACCGATTGGACATAGGGTACGTACGTTGAAGGCTCCAATGTGTAGCTTGGAGCGAGGTTTAAGTAGCCCTGGCACAGTGTTTTGCGCACCAAAACAGTTGGACATGGTGACACTTGAGGAGGAAGCAGAGAGGGGAAGTTTAGAGTTAAATGCCGAGGTGTGAGGAATGATAGGAATTGAAGACGGAGATCGATTATGAGTACAGTGATCTTGAGTGCCGTTATAGGTGTGAGGGTAGTTATCACTTCCCGGTTGCCCACACCGTGGAAGGGTTCTTCTAGAGGTATATGAATAGGAAACTGGGTTAGGGATGGTCTTAGTGACCTGAGAGCATGACCACAGTGCTCAAGGGACAACTGCTTGTGGCCGGTCACATACGACCTTTTTCAGAGTAACTTCGTGTTAGCTCCGTACTTGTTAGGATCTTAGCGCCGGAGATGGATATCCGTGGGATAAAGCGGGTTGTGCGTTTTCAGAGTCAACCTTTTGTAACCTCAATTCTCGTTTTGGGAAGGCAGCATAATTGTTATGCTAAACGTCTGAAGGAGATGCCTCACTGCCAATACACCCCTGTACAGTCGGCAGTACGACTTCACTCTCGAATCTAGGACTTGCTGCTTTTGTTCTTACCATTCTTCAACCGACCTGCCTGGCATAGTAGGACCTTGAGGAACGATTGTTCCAGCCAGTGTAACTTGACTGGTTCATCACGATAGGCAAGTACGATCACCATGTAAAGGTAGGAGCAACGATCAGGAACGGTCTTCGTAAGTTGCGTGGTAGGAGTATCCATTTGAATCTGGTAAGAATACTACTAAATTCAGATGGGCATGGTCGAAGCGAACATAGGGAGTTTTAAATGAACCTAAGGAACAATTGTTGTATTTAATTACCTTAGATTTCTGGCAGCTTACACAGGATCGTGCCCACACCTTCACGTTTCTATCCATGCCAGGTCATCAAAATAGTTGTGACATGAGCTTGATGTTTGCTCGAACACCTTGAAGGAAAAGTTTGTGCAACGTATTGAAGACGTTGTATCGGCAATGTTTTGGCATGATTGGATGGTCCCAACCAGTGGATAAGTCACATAGTGAAGTTTCGTTACCTGTTCCCATCTGCTTGATTCGTAGTTTTAGGGTTGTCCAATACAACTCGTGCTGAATACCAGTGTCTTTTCGAGGCTGGGAATGTTTAGTAAAGTCTATCCCCTGTAAACTATTCAGTGACGTTATACGGAACAAAGCGTCTGAGACTACATTGTTTGTGCCAGAAATGTGTTGCATATCTGCAGTGAACTGCGAAATGTAGTCCCTTTGTCGAGACTCTCGAGGACAACAAGATGGGCCTAAAGAGAAAGCAAGGGGTTTACGATCAGTAAAAAGGGTGAATTCTCGGCCTGCAAAAGAGTGTTGAAAATAGCGTACAACAGAATACATAGCTAGGAGTTCCCTACCGAAGGTGCTGCACTTCGATTCAGTGTCTATTAACCATCTCCAGAAGAATGCCAAGAGCTGACAGGTGTGGCTAACCCATTGTTGTAAGACTCCTTCGACTGCTGAGTCGGACGCGTCTACTGTGATGCTAATGGGTGCTTGAGTGTCCTGGTGTCCAAGCATGGTTGCTTTGGCAATAAGTTCCGTAATTGTGGAGAATGCTTTTCTCACGGTATCGTCTGGATCAATGGATTTCGCATTTCCACGAAGTTGGCCGGTTAGCAGTTTCATTAGGGACGCGCATTTTGGTGTGGACCGTCTATAGAAACTTACAAGGTCATAAAATGTGCACAACTGCCCAATCGTGATAGGCTTTGGGTAATTCAGGATGGCCGCTACTTTGCTTCTACGAAGTCGGATGCCTTGAGCATCAATAGTGTGTCCTAGGAGATCTAAGGAGTCGGTTCCGATTTGGCATTTCTGAATGTTTACAGTAAGGCCGTGTTTTTGCGGTCGTTTGAACACAATGTCCAGATGCTGAAGATGGGGTTCTCTGTCCGGACTTGCTATCAAGCAGATATCAACATACGCATTTACGAAGTTGAGACTTCGAAGAACGTCAACGATGAGCCTTTGGAAAGTCTGTGTAGTATTTCTTAATCTGAAAAGCATTCGCGAGAATTCGTGGAGTCCCAAGGGAGTAATGATAGAGGTTTTCGCAGTATCATCAATAGCCATAAAGATTTAGTCATAAGCTCTAACCAAGTCGATTTTCGGAAAGACTGTTATACCTTTCAAGGTAGTTACCAAATCGTGAATGTGAGGCAACGATCGGGAATTGTTTCCGCATCCAATCACCGATAGTCACTAGTTGAACGCCAGTCCTTGCTTCTTCTTTTTAGGGACCATATGCAGGGGAGATGCCTATGGGTTGTTTGGTGACCGAATGATTCTTAAATTTATCAAGTGACTCACCACCAAAGATGCCACAAGAACACCTAGTTGAACAACTTCTTAACAGGTAACATCTTTTGTAATCAAAATATACCAACTTAGTCAATTCGCAAGTCATAAGTGAAGAGATTCGAATATATATTTTACATGCTATTGACACATCGAGTAGTGAGTGACCTAAACTGGCTCGAGGTTATAGGAGGAGTTGAGCACAACGTACCCACTCGTGATCTGGTGCGGATGCGTGATTGAGTGCCTTCAGCTAGGTGAGTCCATGAAAACTAATGCGGTTAGCATCAAATACCGAAGACTTACAGAATTATTGATTTTGGTGATTTACTTATCTCTACAAGTTCACAAAAAGTTTCCCAAGATAGTGAGATTGGGATAAATAAAAACATATCTGACGAGAAAATGCCGTAAAGTTGGGTCATCATTGTTCGCTTTACACAGTGACATGACATAATTGGCATGCGTACACCCAAGAAGTCCTATTACCTTATGTACCCTCCAAACAGGTCTCAAAATTGGCCCAACTGGTAAATCGTCGAGACAATATGATTGAAAGTTCTTCCTATATCATGCATCATTACGATGGTGTCACAATAGTTACTTGAAGGATGGACGTTATCAGAAATTGAGTGGCTGAACTCAAATCAAATCTAAAATTGTCTTAATTTGACCGCTTCTGCAAAACCTTAGGAATTGTCGATGTGACGCACCAATAGTTTTACGACAGTTTGACCTTCAATTGCTCAGCAACCTCTATCAGTGGACGATACCACTGAAGCGTTTCTGTTCGTGTTTTGCTTACTGTTTTTGGATGTTTGGTTATCTACAATATATTTTATATATTCAATACTAGACTTTTTGTGGCATAAAATCTTTTTAACTGCTATTTGCAAAGTAATAAAGAACCGCTAGTCCTGCGATGTAATAAATAATGCATCCTCATAAACCTCAGTCACAGCTCTGAACATTTATATGTAATTCATATTACTTACCATTATTAGTATTCTCTCAGATAAGTTCCATGGGCTATTTTCCTAGGTTCATTTACTGTAAATAACTAATTAGAAAATGTCACGTAATGAGTGTCCCCAGCTCTTCGAAAGATCTGTCGTAGTGATCATTGCTCGACTATTGGTTGGTAGTTGTCTAGGATTATTTGGAAGTTTCTGTTCAGGGTGCTCTGGGATCCGCGCCTTTTATTATTAAGTCTCAAATTCTAGACAATAATTAGATAAATATTAGTACACCAATCACACGCAAATGATTGAGTATTTAAAAGTCAAAGTCGATTCATTACACCCTCCCAAAACTAATCTAACTCTACAATCGCAATTTACAATATCTTTGTGACTAAATAAGGTTACTCGGACCAAGACTATAAGAATTATCTCTGCACAAACTGCATCTCGGTATTCCTAATTCCGTTTTGTCGTGGGTAAAATACAAGCGGCCGGTATAGTTGTTATTGTCGTAGAGTAGCTCTTGACAATCAACTTCGAGTTGAGTGTTACGGCGGTTTAAGTCCAATAGGCCTTTGTCTGTTTGCTTTGCCCCCAAATGCCATGGTACGGCCGAGAGTGGGGAGAGTCCTCTATCACATGGCCACGCGAATATATAGCCTCTGCCAGGGAAGTCCTACTCACTGCCTTCACGTGGCGGAGGTGTTGTTTACAAAAGTGAAAGGACGAAAAGCGAATGTCCGGCGCTTTAACCGGGTTGGTGGACACGAAAGTTCACCTAGGGGAGTTGGAAAATCCTGATTCCAAGCCAATGGTGCACTTGGGCTCCAGTATCCTGATGTAACAAACGGCGTATGAACCAATCGTTGGTCACCGACTACCATGGGACTGCATCTCCTCACGATGCTCCACTACCTTGTGGACTAGACCTTCAGGTCAAAGGCTCGGAGTGTGGCCCCTTAAGAAAACCACCTGCTTCGGTTTGGGCACCCGGGCAGTATCACAGCCCTCACACAAATCAAATGAGATTTGTGAGGCGCATATTTATCTGGTGCTTTTTTGTACCAATATTTATGTGTTTAAATAAATAAAACTTACCATGTCCTTTAGCATATGGTCATCAAGCCACCACTCAAGCACCTACCTCAGCATATTAATCAAGTCGTTTAGACCCAAATGCACTGGTACGGCCGAGGGTGGGGAGGATCCGCTCTCATTTAAGAAATACTCTCTTATGGCCACGCGTACACAGCCACTGTCAAGGGAGTCCTACTCACCACCTTTTCGCAGTGGGGGTGTTGTTCACGAAATCGAAAGGACGAGGAGCGAATGTCCGGCGCTTGAACCGAAGCGGTGGATACGGAAAATCCACCTAGGGGAGTTGGAAAACTCTGATTCCAAAGCAATGGTGCCCGTGGGCTCCAGGATCCTGAAGGAACGAATGGCGTGTGGACCTGTTGTTGCCACCGGCTACTATGGGACTGCATCTCCTAAAGTTGCTCCACTATCTTGTGGATTAAATATCTAGGTCGATGGCTTGGGGTGTGGCCTCCTTAAAAAACCATCTGCTTTTGTTTGGCACCCGGGCAGTATTCCAGCCCTGACACAAATCGAATGACGAATTGTGGCGCACATACATTTGGTGCATCCTTGTATCTATGTTTATGTTGAAATAAATAATTAGCAAGTTACATACATCAGTTTTCAGTAGTAAGGATTGAAGGTCAACCGACCTTCCTTAATCATTGCAATTTATGCTACTGTGGAGATTCAATGTTTTTGAAAGCATCGACAGAAGGTGGTGATAGAGAATTTCAGTCATTCACTACTCTGCGCGAGAACTAAAACTCTAGACGTAAACTATTTGATCTCAGCTTTTTGAACTTTGTTAGAATGTCCTCTCAGATGATTGGTCTTAGATGGAAAGAAAAGGTAAAACATAATACCAAGATTATCGTGCAGTGTACGGTAGGCCAGTATTAATTCACCTCATAACCTGTGGTAAGATAACAGAAATAGGTTGAGGCGTCTCAGTTTGTCTTCGTAAGATAGGCCAGAGAGACCCTAAATTCTGATACCTTAGGTATTATAAGGAAAATAAACGAGTGTGACCATATTGCTATTGAAAACACGAATAGACTCCATAACTCTTGAGTAAATTGACGCTTAGCGTAGTTAGATGTAAATCACTATTACCGGACAGACTTCGCCACGAATAAGTGCTGTTTCATAGGAACTTAGACATTATGTTCTGGTGCTGAGAATCATAGGTTTCTCCAGATATCTAGGCATTGTCTGTCATAAATAAATCAGTCATACAGTATTCCATGGAGTTTTTAGTGAGTGGAGATTTTCTTTGAACTAAGCGACTTCAGTTGCTGTTGGACGTATAGAGATGGTTACTAATTCCTGGTCTCCCACGCCGTAGACCTAAACAAAAGACTGGATTATGTTAGTCGTGAGGAACTGGGAAATTTGGTCGCAGCGCTCATTCGACACTTTCTTGAGGCTGGTCACATAGCTTTTGAGTGAGTAGTTTTGGACCTTACTACTGGGGACGGAAATTTTGGGACAAAGTGGGGTGTATAAGTTTCTAGACCTACCCCTTCTAATCCTTTCCCGTTGTGAGAAGGCAGCACTATTTCAGACTTTTAATAGAGTTTCAAATCAGAGCTTCAAACCATTAAAGTGGTGCTCAATCAGTTGTAAATAAAGTAGGAACTGACCCATCCATGACAAGGCCTGGTTTTCACAAAAGGCGAATGAAGGTTTTAGAGCACAGATATGTTTATTGGCGTCCGACAATGTTAGTTTTTCTTGACCTGAAAGCAGCATTTGACTCTGTAGATCGCGAGGTTCTGTAACAGTGTCATTGAAAGGTGTACCTCAGAAGTACATAAACCTTGTGAAGGCTCTTTACTCGAACATCACCAGTCGAGTGAAAGCTTATGGCGAACTGTCATATGATTTTACAACCTCAAGTGGTGTCCGACAAGGTTGTCCACTATCCCCATTTTTGTTTAACTTCATTATAGACCTACGACTGAAAATAACATTCTCGTCTTCCGAATATTTGGGCATTGGTCTCCTTCCAGGAGTTCCACTTATTGACTTAGAATACACAGATGACATATTCCTGTTTGGTGAAGAGGCTGATAAAATGTAGGGTCTTTTGATAGCACTGAGCAACAATGCAAGGATGTTTGGGATGCGTTTCTTCCCATCTAAATGTAAACTGTTACTCCAGGACTGGCCTGCGTCAACACCTGAACTAAGGATAGGGAGCGAAGTAGTCGAACGCGTCGACAACTTCACTTATCTTGGAAGTCTAATCAGCCCTAATGGGTTAGTGTCTGACGAAATCTCAGCACGGATTCAGTAAGCTCATTTGGCTTTTGCCAACTTACGTCACCTACGGCGAAAACGAGATATCTGTCTATCAATTAAGGGACGAGTATACTGCGCAGCAGTCCGTTCTGTTTCACTTTAAGGCTGTGAAACATGGCTATTAAGAGTAGAAGATACTCGTAAGTTACTAGTATTTGACCACAGATGCCTTAGAAATATTGCTTGCATCTTCTGGGATCATCGGGTAAGTAATAGTGAGATTCGACACAGTGTATTAGGAAATGATGGTAAATCAGTTGATGAGGTCATGAATCTTCATAGACTGAGATGGTTAGACCACGTGTTACGTATGCCTGAACACGACGAGCTATGCTGACTAGTGTAGGAGATGGTTGGAAGAGAGTTGAGGGCGGCCAAACCAAAACGTGGCACCAGTGCTTGAAGTCACTAACTTCTAGTCTGAGCCATGTTGGCAGATGCAGACTACCTGGTTGGGGTCCGCGTGACTATCGTAACCAATGGTTGGCGACTCTAGGTGACATGGCTCAGAATCGATCACAATAGCGTAGATGTATACACTCTTTATCTTCCCTTAAACCTTAAGATTAAAATTGCTTCATAACGTTCTTCCTTCCGATACTATATCTTTATATACAACCTATCTTTTATATACTACCACCACTAAATTAACTATTTCTATGAATCCGGTGTTCATCTTGTTGTGCTAACGAGGTATAGCAATTTGGACTGATGCATATGTGTGCCTGGTCCTACGTTTTAGCTGACTGACTGATTGAATGAATGAAGAGATCGAAAAATGGGTGTCAACGATAGTGAAGGTCAAACAAGGATTTAATCCAAAATACAAGTTAAATCAAGTGATGAACGCCACCACCTTTGAATCTTGAGAAAAGCTAAAGAATGAGCACAAATTTGGGCCGTGTCGTTTAAAAATTTCAGTCATATGTAGGGGTCGCTAAAACGACATGTCCCAGTCACCGTAGTCAGTGTTTCAAAATGGTGACACCGACTGGATTACCGTCACTATGTCCGAACGCACATCGCCGGATTTCAACCTTACTAACATAATGTTAGCGCTGGATATCAACATTTTCACAAACAGCGATGATCAAACATGAAATGTTGTCTAACATACTCGGAGAGATCAGGTTCCACAATTATAGTGCAGAACTGTTCTTACTGACACGTAAACCGGTCCTGCTACAACCAGGTTAACATCACGATGGGACCAAATATACCTCAGATCTTGCTTCTCTTTGTTTCTTCGCAATGTTGTCTTCTTATTTGTGTACCGTGTATATTTTTATTACTCGTGTCAGATTGTATTTAAATCAAATAGATCAATAAAAAATATCTAAACAAAAGCAGTTTTGGACAATCTTTCGTATTTTACTACCAAAGATACCATCGTTAATTATACCCCACTGATCTGTATGTTTTATATACTCATTTTGTTCGGCCTCTTGATAATGTTCAGCATTATTATGTATGCCATTAGCGCTACTCATCTGATTCATGTGTTGTGGAGCGTAATATCGCCTAACACATTCTTTGATTGGTTACCACAAATTTCTGACTTTAAAGGAACCATTACACAATATATTCCTTATAACAAGTTTTATCATTGCATTAGCATCTTCACCTCTAAACCTTGGAAACTAACCTGGGAAGTATTCTTCTGGACATAAGCGTGGTAAATCACATAACCGGTTCGTTTTTGTGAATAATATCACGCCCAGTCACACTGATATGTGATACCATGGCTTTATCATATCCTATTTCTATATTCTTTCTAACGACGATTCCGAAATCTTTGCTATGATTGATAAGATTTTCACTAATGATTAGTTCGGATTTGGTATTAACCAAGTAAGCGATTACTGTTGTATTCGTACACGGGATCCAATTCTTACATTGTTTGTGGGCAACTGACTTCAGTTCTTTATTGATCTAAAACCGTGGTAAGGGTCAATATGATAAACTTAAGTAGCGTTCTATGTTATCAACTTATATGTTAATTTGCCCAGTCGTTTCCACTAGCTTAAAAGACTTTTTGTCAGTGAAGTTTCCTGTCAAATCTTCCCATTTATCCTTGTCTCTTTATTTCCTACTCAGCTCTTGTGCCATGCGTTAGGCCGAGATATTAAAAAATAAACATAACGTTTGCAGTTATGAACTCGCGTTTTATCCATCCAGATAGTGAAGAAAGACTTGGCTTTGACTTGTCAGAAGAAGTACCTGAACCCAACGAGGACGGGGGTTGTGGTAGCTCTATTCTACAGTTTCCGATTTCTGATTCTTTTCATTCTGTTGAACAACAACGCCAACAACTTCCTGTTTTCACCAAAAGAAGTCAATTTTTATATCTCCTTGAAAACTCCAGGTAGTTATGGTCATCTTAATTATTCTTTGAATTTTTATTGATTGTGTCGTGATGAAATTTACCTAGGATTTAAGTGTACTTTTTGTTGTATTAGGTATATCTGTTATGGCACTGTTTTAATGTTTCATAGTTATTACTTACTATTTAGTCTTTGCCTCTAAGGTGACCAAAATTACTTTCTATTAACTAATAACCTCATAGTTTCATAGAAAAATCTTTTGGAATGACGTACACTAATTTACGATTACTAGTTCAGCGTTTTATATTTAGTTTCGGATTAATCCTGCGACGTAGTGGCGAAATCGATTTTCAAGTGCTTTTGCGTTAATTATTTTCACTGTCACCTTCTTAGAAATATACTAGATGACTCAGTCACTTATTGAAAAAATAGACAGCGAAAAGAACATTGATCCATGCTGTGAAAAATGTCATGTTCTTAATCACAATACGAGCTAATTTAAAGGCAGTGTTTAAAATTTGCGTACCGTTTTTTATGGATTTTATATCACGCCTCAAGAATTCACTTTTACAAAAATTAAGCTATTAAAGTCCCTTTACATCGATCGCACTCAGATGAAGTTTTGTGACATCTGAGCAGCCGTGTGGTATCTCTAGCTGAAAATCGAGTGACTTGATTATCAATGTGCTACTTTTAATTATTCGGTCGCTATTTAGACCATCAATGATGATTTCACTGTCTGTTTTGTTCACGTGATACATGTTTGCTTTACTTTCATTCATAGAATGGGTGTACTTTAAAGATCTAATGAACGTCCATTACTGTTTTTAATTGACTGATTATACGTTTTATCAACTATTTACACTAATACAGTCATGTCATTAAAACTGACTAATAACTCATAATAATGACTGTTTGGTATAGATTATGTTTAAATTAAAGAATAAATAATCTAGATGCCCCACTATTAATCTTCTTTTAGAGTTTTAGTCGTTACTGGAGAAACTGGGAGCGGGAAGTCTACACAACTTCCTCAGTATGTTTATGAAGCTGGTTGGTTGGACTCAAAATCCAGTAATTTTAATCCATTCGGAGTCACCATGGCTGTGACACAGCCAAGGCGTGTAGCTGCATTAAGTTTGGCTACACGTGTAGCTGAAGAGAAAAATTGGCGAATCGGTAAACAAGTTGGATATATCATACGTTTTGAAGTAAGACTTACCACACGTCGTTGCTTTTTTTTCTGATTTTTATGCATAAGAGTTTCCAAACAGGGTTATTCTGGTTTTTTAAATCTCTGGAGATTGTTTGAATATAAACCGAAAATACTCCATTTTAAGCGAAAATAGCAAAAATTAGCATGCTCCGGAAAGTTTAGTGATGACATCGTAGAAATCCAACTGAAAAAAATATTTCTTTGCTCAATTCCCATTCTGAATGTCAACGTGAAATTATTTAATTTTTCGACAGTGGAAACTTCTATTTAGACATTTTAAATAGTTAACTGGTAAAGGGGTTTTTTTCAACTGGCTTTTCATCACGACTACATATTTCGAATCCGAAGGCTTTTTGAAAATATTAATAAATGAATACGGAATTGATTAAAAGATGAAAGTTAATAGAATAATTTTACTACTGTTTTTCAAGTTCTATTATCCAATAAATAAGTTGAAACATGTATTTATAAATTAACAGGCTATTTAATTAATAACTAGCGGTAAAAGTGTTGGGAACAATGGTTATTTAAGAGTAAAAGGACAAGAAGGGCAATTAGGAAAGTAGGAGGAGTAATAGCTAATTTTAAGCTCACTTTAATTTGTTGACTAACATATTAAAAGGTAATATAGAATATGTTGACATTCAAGGTATTGAAAGCCGTTGTACGAATATATTTTGTACACAGAGGTCTAGGATTCATCCCATTATTGAATAAAATATAATTATAGATTGTGATTGAGAAAGGACGAAACTATGTCTTATGGAGCATAGTTATTGCCTTCTTTAAATTAGCACAATTAGCACATTGGTTGTTGTTGTCGAATTAGTAAACTTAGTTAGTCGTTTCATTTCTCACAATTTGATTATTTGTTTATTAACACTAATGTTTATTCAATGTATTATACCGACTATTGGTGTACAAAACGATAATAGGTCAAGAGATTAAACAGTGGTTCGTTTTCTCAACCCATTTATTCTGATTAATTTATTATGTGTATATTAAACGGTATTCGAATAATAATTATTGCTATTGAGTTGTTTGTCGCCATACTTCCAAAACATCATGCCATAACTGATTGGGGGTAATACTCGTATTTCTTCTAACAAAAGTAATAAAGTGTCCTCAGGATTCGCTATTCATATTAACTCTTCAAATACTAGCATACCCAAAGGATTAATCTCCACTTCGAATTGTGCAGGAGTTAAGTATGTTCCACTTGTAACTTTGGAAAATCAGTCTACGGATCTTTGAAATTTATGGTGCTATACAAATAAGTAATCCATTTTAAACGGGCGTAAACTTATAGACTTTTGAGTGTCTAGTGAGTTCCCGTTTCTCTTGTATCAAACTTCTTGCAAAATACTTAAAAGTATAAATTCTTTTATCTATCTTTTAGTTAAATTTGATTTAATATATGTGGATATGCTTTCACAATATTTTTTTGTAAAAGGAATGTTGGACACCAAATTCAACTGTCATCTCATATCTTACCGAAGGTATGATGATACAGGAACTGTTGCGTGATCCTCTTCTAACTCGTTTCCGTGTAATCATGTTAGATGAAGTTCATGAAAGATCTTTGCAAACAGATATTTTGTTGGGTCTTATTAAGAAAGTATTACGTAAACGGCCAATTGACTTGCGAGTTATAATCTCTTCTGCTACATTGGAAGCTGAAAAGTCAGTTTCTCCTTATTTATGTGTTTGTTTTATGCCATACATTTATTTGATTAACCATTATGAAACACCTATTTCATCCTTTTTAATCTAGTTATCATTAAGTGATCTGTTCATCACAGGTCTTAATTACTGTGGCCGTTTTACATTCATAATTACATTTACCTAAAAAACAACTAAATATAACTTAGGAACTATCCGCTTAATTCGTTATTCGAAGACAGTGAATTTAAGCCGTTTCTTTCTTAAACTCATTTACCAATTAAAGAACCGTATTCTTGGCTTTGCTTGCAAAGGATGGTGAATTACCTGGTTATCCAAAGTAAAGCAGATAAAACAGTCCGAGTGTTGACATAATGTATGAAATTCAAACCCATTAATCATTGATCCACCAATCCATTATCCATTTGTGGTTCTATGTTGTACATATCCGTTAGATACATTAACAAATCTATATCAGAGAAAACTGTTAGGACTTTTGCCTCTGTAAATTGTCACGTGATAAAATCACCAATCATAATGCCGGTTTGTATGACCTTGTCCTTTTGCTAAACATATGACATGTCAAACAACAATAGCAGCCTTGCCTCAGCTCTGAATTCTTATTGGTTCTTCTCGCCCAGCCCTGCCCGTTGATTCCAGAATACAATCTCAGCCTTCACTATATGAATCGCATATTTCAGGCATACGTGGTTTATATACAAGCGAACCAGACCGCATCATACCATAAAATAGAAAATACCAATTATACAAGATCAAGCCAAAATAGCTGAGTGTAAGAGACTGTAAGTAATAGGTTGGGAATCTCATAATAGTAGTCAATGGATCCATTGGAAATTTATGATAAAAGGAATATGAATATACATATAATCTAGTTACTTAGTAGTCATCCAATAAGAAAATGTATAACAGTAGTCCACAAATAATCCCTAGCAGTTACCATTCGTTTATTCTTCGTTCGAATATAACAAAATTCTTTTGTAACGCTGTAAAATTCATCATCATCTCATCGTCAGTAAAAATAACCAACATGATCTGTATTAATTGTCATTTTGTCAGTAATCACCCTTTCATAATTTATTTATCTACTCATTTCACTGAATCAATCAATTTGCTTCCGAATATATATATATATATATATATATATATATATATATATCAGGATGGCCATCAGACAAATGAAGAGTGAGAATGCATCAGGACCTGACAACATACCAACTGAAGCACTGAAGTCAGACGTAGAAGCAACTGCAAACATGCTCCATGTTCTATTCAGAATGATTTGGGAGGAAGAACAAGTGCTGACAGACTGGAAAAAAGGATATCTCATCAAGGCGCCAAAGAAAGGATATCTGAGCAAATGTGAGAAGTACAGAGGCATCACACTATTATCGGTAGCAGGGTAGGTTTTCAACATAGTGTTGCTGAACCGGATGAAAGACGCAATAGACGTCCAACTTCGATATCAACAGGCCGGATTCCGTAAGGATCAGTCGTGTACAGACCGAATCGCGACACAACGGATTATAGTTGAATAATCAATCCAATGGAACTCGTCACTATACATCCAATTACTTGACTATGAGAATGCATTTGACAGCATGAAAAGGCGAAACTTATTTAACTTTCTTTGACACTATGGTGTGAGTAGCTGAGAAGATCGTCAATATTATACGGAATTCATGCGACGGACTGCACTGTGAGGTGATGCATGGAGGACAGATGACAGACTCATTTCAAGCGAGTCAAACAAGACAGCTTACTCTCCCACTTTCTCTTCCTTTTTTGTGGTCGATTGGATTATGAAGACCTCCACACGTGACGGGAATTGTTATTAATGTATTTATGTGAGCACATAAATATTGGTACAAGGTGGCACCAAGTATGTATACGCCACACAAAACAATGAGAATGGGAAGAGAAGAAGAGGGTAAGGTGCATATAATGAAAAAAACAAAAAGAAAAGAACAATAACAACCACAGATTGGTGTATGTTAGTGTAATAATAAGAATAATAATGGGGGAAACAGAAATTTACAACCAGAAGAACTCTTTCAGTTAAGGAAGTAGTGACCACTCTTTATGAAGAAAGCGAAAGAATGTTACAGCAGGATCGCCACTAGCTTCTATTCTGAGCCATATCTGATAATGTCTCCAGCCACTTTGTTACACCATCTCTTGGACCCCAGTGAGGGACTAGTGAAGGATCAACAGAAGCCAGCCCTTTGCAGCTTTATTTCATACCACGACACCATGTAATACACTGACCACCTCTCCGCTTCTTCCAACCAATCCCAGCGTCGGCGAATAATGCACGACGAGGAATTCTCTAGGACGACATTCGTAAAACATGTCCAAGCCACCGAAGTCGATGTTTGAAGGTAGCGACACCAATTGGTTTATCATCTCTGCGCCCGAATGCACGATGCCGAACCTCTGCATTACTAACATGGTGTTTCCACTGGATGTCGGCAGTCCTTCGGAGACAACGATAATCAAACACAGAAAGTCGTCTAACATCCTCAACTCGGAGAGGCCAGGTTTCACAAGCATAGACGCGTTGTAGATCTGACCTTTTACAGCAGACTGACATCACGAAGGCGACAAAAATGAACCAGATTGTCATAAGTCTTTCTAGCTTACACTTTACGTGAATTAATCTCATCACTCACGATGCCACCAGCACTTATGCAGCTACCTAGATACACGAACATCTCGACTACTTCAACCTGCTCGCCACCCAGAGTTAGTACAAGATCAGAATCCTGTCAGTCTTGTAGACGTACTTTGCACTTCGAAGATGCAAAGCACATACCATACCTATGGACACTGATTGCCAACTGATTAAGTGCGGATTGCATGCCTTGGGCATTGTCGCACAGTAAGACAATATCATCCGCATACTCGAGGTCGAGAAGTTGTTCTCCAGGCCACAGATCCACACCGCCATTACTTACATCCATCAGAGCTGTTTTCAGGATGTCGTCGATGGCAAAGTTGAAGATGAATTTTGAGATCGGGCAACCCTGCCTAACCCGACTGCTCGAATGAAACAAGGGAGAGAGGTGGTTGTATGCCCTCACTCTGCCTGAGGTGTTCGTATACAGGGCCTTTAAGATGTTAATGAACTTCTCAGGCACACCCTTCTTCAATAGACAATCCCAGAGAATAATCCTGTCCAACGAATCGAAGGCAGCCCTGATATCAAGAAACACTACGATTGTTGGCCTGCGATAAGTATGACGGTATTCTAACATTTGGCGGAGGGTGAAGATGTGATCAATGCATCCTCGACCAAAACTAAAACTAGCATGCTCCTCGCGAGTCAATCTTCCTTGGGTTTTGAACAACCTACGAAGTATGACGGAAGCCAATACTTTGAACGCAATCGGAAGTAGACTCATCCCCTGATAGTTATTAAAGGAATGACGTGAACCCTTTTTAAAGATAGAGACAAATATCGACTCTTTCCATGACTTGGGAACACTCTCTAGCTCCCAGACCTTTGTAAACAACGTTGTCAGTTCCTTAGCCAGAAAGTCACCACCATCTTTAAAAAGAGCCGGAGGTAAGTCATCTGGGCCCGGCAATTTGTAGCGCTTTAAGAGTTGGAGTTCCGCCTCATTTGGTGGAGCAGTCGTCACCAGCCATAGAGAGCAGGACAGTCCGGTCGATGTTGCCGGAGCAGCAAGCCAGTTGAACTGCCTTTCAATGAGTTTTACCTATCGTCCAAGACGTCGAGAGATGTTAGTGATTGGAATCCCGTCATCCTCACAGATTGTTTCACTCACACCAGACTTCTTGCTGCCAGTGGCTCGGATGAGTTGGAAGAGCTTCCGGCAGTTACCAGATGCAGCTGCTGCTTCCAGCTCATTAGCACGCTCCGACCACCAGGCTTCTTGGTCTTTACGCAAGCTTTGTCCAATTTCATTACGTAACAGTCTTCGTTTGTGGTCATACTCACGGTCACCTGGAGTAGACCGACGGTTTACGATGAGTTGTAAGAAGCCTGGAGAAACCCAGTGCTTATAAGCGGGACGTTTCGCGAAGCCGCAAGCGACTTTACTCGCCATTTTAATGGCGTTAGGCAGTTTTAACCAATGCTCATCTATACTTTTCGGTGGGATGGTAGCTAGCCTAGAAGCTAGCTCGGTTCGGCACTTACTTGCAACAGAAGTTGCAATCGATTTGCTAACATCAATCCGTTGATGAAGATCAGTTCGTTGGCCACTGAAAAGTAAGGTAAGATTGGCGCAGACCAGGGCATGATCAGAGTCCAGATAGGTACTCCAAAAGGAGCGGCAGTCTTGTACACAACCACGCCAGCGGTAGCTGATCGCGATGTGATCAATTTGAGTCCAGGCTTGAGATGCAGAGGGAGGACGCCAGGTGGCACATCGGCGATGACTGTGCCGGAAGTTATTGCTAGCCAGAAACAGGTTGTGGTCTGTGCACAGTTCAAGTAGATGGTCCCCGTTATCTGTCCTGCGACCAGCAAGTCCCCATCGGCCACCTAAATGACTCTCTTTTGTGCCTAGACACCCGACCTATGCATTGAAGTCTCCGGCTAGTACTACAATATCCGTCGAAGGCACTTTCTGGAGAAGAATGGTTAATTGGTGGTAGAATTCATCCTTAATTGCATCCGGGCTGCAATCTGTCGGGGCATAGGCGGAGATGACGAAAAGACATCGTTTCTCATGCCGATTTCTTCTCACTTTGATGGAACTTTCCAATCAAACAGCACATAACCGACTTTTAATGGGGACACTATTGAAAAACCAAGATCCTGAAATGCAACACTGAGAACACCAACCCAATTACATTTGATGGAGAAGCGCTGGAAGAGGTGGAAAGTTTCACACCCCCGGACAGCAACATCGATGAACGTGGAAGATCTGATGTAAATGTAAAGGTAAGGATTGGCGAAGTAAGGACATCATTCCTACAGTTGACGAACATATGGAACTAAAACAACTGTCTACAAGCCAATATGAAAATCAGAATATTCAATACGAACATCAAGCCAACTCTAGTGTACTAAGCTGAAACATGAAGAACTATCACAACTATCATCAAAAGAGTGAGTATTTATAAGCAATTGTTTATGCAAGATACTGAATGTCCGTTGTCGGGAAACCATCAACAACAGCCTACTGTGCGAGAGAAGAAACCAGTTTTCATGTGAAGAGGAAATTAGGAAAAGTCGTTGGATGAGGATAGGAAACACATTACGGAAATTATCGAGCTGCATCATGAAGCAAGCACTAACTTGGAATCCTGAAAGTAGATGGAAAAGTGTTAGGCCAAAGAATACACTGTGTCGAGAGTTGGAAGCAGACATGAAAAGGATGAATAGCAACTGTAAATAAATGGGAAGGATTGTCCAGGACAACGTTGTATGGAGAATGCTGGTGGGTGGCCCATACTCCCCGATGGGTAGTAGGTATAAGTAAGTAATCAATATGATAAAAACTGTTTCGTTGATACTTTTTAAAAAGAAGACTATTATTTCTCTTTAGGTTTATAGAATATTTTTCAAAAATGAAGATACCTGAAGTGGAAACCCAAAAACAAGGGCTAAAATTAACTCCTGTTTCACATTTAAATGTGGAAGGACGTCAATATACTGTGTCTATATTTTACTCACTTGATCCCGTTCCTTGTTATATATCTGCAGCTAAAGAGACTGTTTTTCGGATACATGAGACAAAACCATTGGGTGGTGACATACTTATCTTTGTTACAGGTAAATATTCTGGATGCAAATAATTGTTAAATTAAGGATGTTACTCAAGCTGTATAAAATTTTTTGACTTTTTCTGCAGATGTCTAAATGTGATGAATGATAAATTTCACTTTTTTACACGTAGAAATGCCGACGGAAAGTTTCATTCACATCATATTAATGTAGAATTTAGAGTTACAGAAAAATATTAGTTGCAAATTATAAAAAACTAAAGTTAGAAAAATCATTGACAATTTTTGTAGCATATGACAGTACGATTGTAATTTAGAGAATCCTAAAACCTGAGTGTACTCAAACAATAATGATTGTTTTTACTTACTGTGATTGATCTTTAGTCCAAAAAAGATATTTCGAAACAAAGTTGGATAGTATCTCATCACCACTTGCGTTGTCTTAATTTTGTTCCATTCTTTGACAGGTCACAACAAATTCAATACACTGTGTACGATGAAATTTCAGTTATTATGATGATCGATAAGAGTTTTGCATAGCAGTGGTGTGGGTTTTATAAAGCTTAAATATAATTTGAAAAAGAAAACTGCCAAATCCTAACTCCATAAGTGAACGGTATCTCACCCACCTAACGACGTCTAGCTCCTGGATGTGCACTAGTAAATTGTTTTTTAACCTATCTAGAGATTAGAGATTTCTGATTGTTTTTCAAAGGACGTGCGTGGTTCGTTAGAATTGACTTCCAGTTAATAAACTTTCCACCACCCACCTGACTTCAGCACTGATAGCTTGCACACGTTTCACGCACAACATTCTATCAGTTTCCATTGTAAGCATTTATTGCCACTGAAATGGAATTGAAGACTAGAGGTGGACAGTTTGTGACATGGTACAGTATCATAGAATGAAAGATAGTTGCGTTGAATTAACGTTTGCAAGCATTTCACTACAACTCTGTGGGTTAAGAGATTATTTCACTTAACTTTAAGTGTGAGGCAGTCATAATTCTACTGTAGTTGTTTTTGTATTCTTCATAACCTAGGTATACCTTTGTACTGAATGAAATTAATCTTGATTGATTTTTTCATAAAATTGGCATTCTGTCTCTTAGTGATGTGGATTTAAGTCTCTGAGAGTGACAGTAGTTCCTCAAAGTTTTAAAAAATATTTTGGTGGTATAAATTGTTTCTGTAATGTATATGGGCTTTCTATTGATCATTTTTAATCAACTAGTATTTCTAGGTACCGATTTGTAGTGAATAATAACGCGGTTTATTACACCGACGGGTATATATATATATATATATATATATATATATATATTCATGAACATTGGCGTCTAAACCTTTTGAGCGAAATGAACAAGTGAGTAGTAACTTTCAGAGTGCCTTGTGGTTAGTAAGTTGTAACACACACACAATGAAGTTTTGTGCGGAACTGTTTTTCTCGTTTCATCGGTATGCTGGTATCGTATTAAATATCTTATATTGATATATAGTTAGACTCGATACGAAGTTTTCCCAGGAAGCTTATGGAACTGCTATATGAGAGTAGTAACAATATTCCATATATTTAAATGCAAGAACAGGTAAGAGGTCATTTCGAATTGGAATTCAAAAACATAAGGGGTGGGTGATGCATTAATTAAATGAGGTCCGGAGACAGATAAGATAGATTGTGTAATAATTTTAGATGTTATGAAGGATTTATATGAGATTAAATGAATTAAAGGAATGAAAACGCATAAGTGAAGGGATGGTTTTGGTGTGCATAAAATAAGAATTAGTCAAGAGAAGACCCCATAGCAAAATAAACACCAATAAAATAATGATAATGACAAAGTAGTGATAAGTTTATTACTCTCTTTTTGGATACATAAGTCAGGTTTTCGTTTTTTATTGGTATTGCTTCGGCAAACCAAAGAGACGTTGCGTTTTTTGTCTGCTAATAATTTTGAAGGCTTGTGAAATGACTATGGTATGGCTTGTGTCAAGTGAACGCCGAGCTATTGCATTGTTTAGAGCCATTGTGTCTCTCAGTTTCAAGTTCTTTGAAACGTGCTCAGAAATGCGAATTTAATGTTATAATCGATTGATTCTAAGTAGTTACTTGAAAGATGCTTGTTAAAATAGACCAAATAAATTACTTCTACTATTATATACTCTCACTAAATTTCACAATAAACATGTCTTTTATTGTAAATCAAAATAATACTCTTTATATCTATGATAAAAAAATAATATTGAGTTTAAATTATTTGACCCATGAGTAAAAATTACCCAAGACTGGAATATTCAATTGATATAATGAGAAAATTAGGAGAAAAGTTCATGGTCATATAGAAAAGGTCAAATGTGAATTATACATTCAATGAATATAGTTAACAAAACCTTGCATTAACTATGTCTGCTTTAAAAAAATATTATTTTTATATTAATAATCGATATGATAAAAATTAATCTTTATTTTTCAATTATCTGCTGTTAAAAGTAAACTCAGTTAGATATGTCATTAAAGATGAATTGTCAAATATAATGAATCTATATTATTCTGCATCAGTGTTTGTTCTAGCTTTATTCAAATTCATAAAGGAAACCAATTGTGTCAAATTTAACTACTGACTTGACACAGTTTAGTTCACATTTCAGTATTTTTCTTTTTAAGTAGTAAGTACAATCAGTCTGTCCCAATTAGTTGTTTTTTTCAGTTTATTTCTGAATAATACGTCATAAAATCTACTTTGTTAGGACATGTTATGAATCATGTCTTGTAGATTTAAGGAAACTTCATCCTTAGTTTCCATTAATTACAATTAGTAGTCTAGACTTTATTGTGTCTATTGTGATTAGACTTGTTCACATGACCTGATTACTTAGCTACAATATTTAACAATACGTCTATTCATCAAAATATTTTACTTATTTTGAGATAGGCGTATTGTACACTTTTTTCAATGTTCCATTACTGATTGATGTGTTTTGTTTCTCTTCCACCACATACTACTTCAGGGCGGAAAACATAATAGAAGTACTTTTTTATCAGTTAAGACTTTCATATTTTTACAATAACATCGAGTGCGTATTTATACATTTATACTTTGTTTCACAACTTTTCAGTCTTTTTTACAGTCAACTGAGTTGGCATCATGTTGAACAATATACAAAAGTTGCAGAAATATGTTCCTATTGGACATTGATATTAGGAATTGATGATAATATAAAGATATCGACCTTTGTTTACCATCAGATTTTTGGTATTGATTATGCATATTGAGAGTTAAGTAGTCGATAGGTTGTTCTGTTTCAAAGGATAACTGATAAGTATATACCCAGTAATTGTTTATTTTTCTCTTTTATTCATTAGTCGAATTACTGATAAGTGTGACAAATTTCAGCTGAAATATTAATTTAACTAATGACCTGATACAATAATTATTATAAATTTGAATGAATTTGCTGCTGACTAAGTTAATATATGGTTCCTTCAACCTGGAATTATTAATTAGTTATGGTATTAGATGAACGTGGCTATTTTGTAGCTGTAACGTTGTGGGTATTCATGTTTATCTTAGTAGTTTGAGTTTTTGTACGAAGATGCACTGCAACGAAATTTGGAGGCATTAAACTTGGTTGCAATTTTGGTTAGTATTTCTTTTTTGGAAAATACTTACATTCAGTTTCATTTTGATTCCCAAGGTCAGAATGAAGTTTCCCAACTGGTTAGCAATCTAATTGAAGAATATCGGAACCGCAAGGAGCGTTTCTTAAATACTCAACAACAAAGTTCCAAAACAAAGTTACCTACTACTTACCCACCTTTACGTTGCTTACAGCTTCATGGTTCCCTTCCTCAGCATGAACAGCTTCGTATTTTTGAACGACCAACTCGGTCTTGTCGTAAAGTTATCGTGGCCACTAATGTTGCGGAAGCGTCAGTTACAATTCCTGGGATTTCTTATGTGATTGATTGTGGCTTTTCAAGAATTCGAGCTTATAATCCTGTTAATGGGCTTGAAGCTTTAGTTACTATACCTATATCTCAAGCTTCAGCACGCCAGCGTGCTGGTCGAGCCGGCCGTACAAGAACTGGACAGGTTAGTAACATATTATTGAGTTACCTATATCTCTTGGCTAAGTTTTTATTTACATTGTTATTTCATTTACAATAATAATAATAATAATAATAATATTAATAAAAGTTTTAAAGTCTGTTAACTCGCTCTTTCACAGATACCATTAGCGAGTATATTAGTTACCGTGTTCATTTAAATTATTTCTGTTAATTTTTCCTATTAGTTGATGTCAGTACTAAGAGAATATAATACCGAAAATATATTATTTATAATTTGTAAAGACAATCAGGTAAAACTCTCGATATACATATTTACCAATCAAATTGATTCATCATGAGATTATTTCCATGTATCTAAGTTGTTTTATTATGATATTCATAAAGCTTTTTTGTCACGTACATACAATCAAATGCACACTGAATAAACGGAAATTAATCGTAATTTCAGTTCGCTAACAGTGCTTATATCTGAACTGTCATTATATCTTTCTAAATCACCTCTACATACAATAACACTAGTCGTGTCACATCTTTATCCTTTTTGGGACACCTCCCAGAAAGCGCAACGAAGCCTCCAGAGGCCCTAACGAAGCCTAAGAGATTCCATCCAATCAGAACGTGATAGGACTTTCTAGAATACCAACATGGCATACTATGACTGAACATTACATAACTTTCTACTTGCGAATCGGTTGGATTATAATGATGTTATAGCCCGGACTAAAAACTATAAATACCCCTGTTTTCCTGTACATATTTTGAAATTTACTTAATAACTACTTTCAGTTGTTTCTTCTGTTTTTTTCATTTGTGACTGGGTTTTATGCATTTGAGTGCTGATATCCGCATGCAGTATTAGCGGCCGTAGAAGTCCTTGTTTATTATCATATATTGATAACAATTTTTAAGTAATAACTAATTGTGTGTAATTAAAATATCATTGATTTTCATATTTACAACAAATTATAGTTCCTTTTTTCTGTCACTTATGATATTACAGGCTTACCGGCTTTATACTGAAGAGGCATATAATAAACTCTTGCCACGTTTTACATTACCAGAGTCTTTACGTGTCGATTTATCTGGTGCTTTGTTACGCTTAAAAACGCTTGGTATCGATCGTTTAGCTCAGTTTGATTGGCTCGATCCACCACCTGCATCACATGTAGGTCAGTCTGCTGAACGACTTGTGGCTTTAGGTGCTCTCGATGCTAGTTCTGGTCATCTTACAATTCCTCGTGGTTTAAAATTAGCAGAAGTGTCTACAACATGTGGTTTAGATCAACCTTCAACTGCAGCTGCATTATTAGGTGCTTGTGATGAAGGATGTTCTCAGGAGATTGCTGCCATTGTATCATTAATGCAAGTGAGTAATTGATTTGGTATGGCCTTACATTCCAGTAATTACAATCTGTTATTTATTGGTACGTAAAAAATTATACTGAGACTTTTATATAACTATGAATTTTTATGAATATTTTATGTATTTTTGCTTGGCTTTTTAGATTCAACGAATATTTACGGTTTCCGATTACAAACACACAAGTGATCGTATTCGTAGGCAGACTTTCGGCTGTCAGCAAGGTGATCATTTAACAGAGCTAAATGCATTTGTTGCTTATGAGAACCAATCAAAACTATTATCAAAGTCGGAACTTCGAACATGGTGTCGAGAAGTAGGTTTAAATGAACGTGGGCTAGCTCATGCAGTTATACTACGTGATCGAATTGGCTCCATGTTTCATCGTTTAAAATTGCCGTGGGTAAAAGCAGAGCCTGAGGGAAATCCTAATCCAGTTCTACGGGCGATTGTTCGCGGATTCTTTCATCAAGTAACAATTTGTGTCATTGAACTTTTGCTTTTTAATTTTATATAACTCTCTTGTAGGATAGTGTTTAATTGTTTTTAGAAAACCTCAGCTACTAGTACTAGTTTTCTGCAACCGTAGAGTTTAGATTCATGATATGGTAGTCTATGTGTATTTTCCTTTGTAAGGATATTTTTCATTATGGACTGGTGTCAGCTAGAAGAAAAAACAGATATTTTGTTCTAACTGGGATTTATAAGCAAAGTTCACGACTCCATACTGGATCAAACCAAGAACCTTTAAGTTATCCAATCTTGACTATACCATTCATAAACAGTAAATCGGGATTCAATGGTGTTCACTTCTAAATTAAGTGAGTTCACACATGTTGCTCGACAAATATCCATTACTATTGGTGGGTAACTGACTGTATTATTCTGATATGGTTTGTGGTAACTGCAATTATTCTAATGACACTTTGAACCCAGGTACGACAGTTTCCTCGACATCCTCACAACTGCACATGGTTGCTTCAATTTAAATCCATTCAATAAACAATGACCTTTTGTGTGCGTTTCAAAGCATATATTTATATATTTTCTATGACAGTCAAGTTGTTTCGTTAGAGTTACATATGTTCAATTACTTAACTGTTTGTTTTCATAACTGTTGTTTATCCTGAAATTGCATATCCAACTCTTAAATAAAGTTTATCTATCTTTATTTTGAATAGATAACCTAATGAAGTTAACTTCGAAGTAGACATATAAATGGATTATTGAATTTCTTGCGATTAGTTACCTCGATAAACTTTTGTAGAGTAATAACAACAAATATTGTGAGATGAATTGTATGTATTTCATCATTTCACGTGTACTACATCTTCCACATACTAACTGATTTTTAGAAATAAGAAAATGTTATATATATATGTTATTGTGTGTGAAATCCATTAAGTCATTTAGTTCACTGGTTTCAAATAATTACAAATAGTTTCCATATTTGTGCAAGCTCAATTCATAGGCAACAGGAATAGGCGAGAGACAGAGCGAGACTATGACATGATTAAATATAAAAAATATGTACAAATTGTCATGATTACTCTAAGTGAAATGATGAAAATCATAGTAATTACCCAAAAATATAAAAATAAAGTGCATGTTACTTACAAAATTACATTTGTCAAACATTTCATTTATTGGTACAAATCAGCGTATGTTTGTGGAAGATTTAGAGCACATAAAAGAAAATGAATTCATTTCATCTCACATTATTTGTTGTTCTTGTTGTTAAAATGAACTTCTTATACAATCCATAATTTTAGCGATATTTGATGTAAGAATTATACTTTATCTTCAAATATTGCAATATGCAGTGAACAGAATAATGCACAACAAGCAGTAGATTCTAATCTACTACCCAATTGGAATATACTTTGTGTGGTTTTGATTTCTTATGAACAACGATGGGGACACTGGGATATAGACACTTATAGCCCTTATATTGTATATGAAGTAATCCAAATATCTTTTTGGTATATTTAAATGAAATATTTCTTTGAAATATGATTAATATTTCTGAACTAGTTAGATAAGTAATATCAGCAATGGATACGAAGCAACAGTGAGCCAATGTTTGATCCTAATTTAGGGTTTCTCAGGGGCACTAAACTAAACAGTTAGGTTCCGATCCAGTGGTTGAATGGCACTGTGTTTGCTTCAACACTTAAAGATCATGACTGGTGCCACGTTTTGGTTCGGCCGTCCCTAACCTCCTAACCTACTCCTACACTAAATAACTTCGCCCGTCAAGGTAGGCGGTGGTTAAACATATGTAACACGTATCAAGACCACTTGAGTTGATCACGGTTCACTACCTTGTCAACTGATTTGCCATATTTACTTAGTACCGTACCCCTAACCTCGGCATTGCTCAGTCGGTGGTCCTAAAATACACGAGCGATGGTTCGAGGATTATTGTGATTGAATGCTAATAACCTACGAATATCCTCTAATACTAATGGTCATGTTTCTGAGCCATGAAGTCGAACACAGCGAACTGCTGCTCATTTAACTTATCCTTTGGTTGACAAACGGCTATTTCGCCTACACCACAAGTGAACCAAATTAACAAAATCCGTGGTCGGGATTTCGCCAGACACTAGACCACAAGGACTGATGAAAATTCCAAAGCAAATAAAATGGCCAGCACACTAAACTACTTCACTCCTTGTTATTAATTCAGATGCTAACTCAGGTTTGTCTTAAGGTAACATTTTGCATTTGGCGGGATATAATCGCATTTCAAACATGCTTATATTTTTGCTTAGGGCAGTCAGAAGACTGCGTTTTACTAGCCTTTTGACCAAACAGTACTATGTCATCTACTTATTTTAAGTCAATAAGGAGGTGTCCTAGCAGAAAATCAACTCATAATATATCAGATAATGAAAGTGTTATCTCTAAAAGAATGTCTGTGAAAAAAATAAATAAAAATTAGGAAATTGGATAGCCTTGATAAACGCCACTTGAAGTTACCAGTTCCGAAGATAGTTTACCATTAGCTCTAACTTGACAATTAATATTTGAGTACAAAGCTTACACAAGGCTGATGTACTATAAAAAGTCCGAAGGAAAAATTCGGCATCTACTCAGCTCTCCCTAGTTTCCAGTGGTTCTGTAGTTAATATCAGTTTTTTTCACACCGATCATCTTTAAAACGAACAAATCATATATATATGAAATATGTATGAGGTTAAATTCTGCGATGTTTTTCAGTGATAGCCTGTTAAATGTCATTTTAGTTAGCATATTTATTTTATTATGTAGTTCATTTATTTATTTGATGTTTTTTACATTCCATTAAAAAAGGCTGCTCGTCTCGCTTCATCTGGTTCACATTATTTAACTATAAGAGGAGATCATCAATTACGTTTACATCCTAACTGTATTTTATACTCGTCTACAACACGTTGGCCCGCTTATATCTTATTTACAAATGTATTTCTCACACCTAGTTTGGATTACAGTAATGATACTAAATCAAATATTAACAATAATAAGAATGACTTGTCAAGTACGTGTATCAGTGGTGTCAGTGTTATACAACCAGATTGGTTGCTGGAATTAGCTCCACATTATTATCAATTTGGTACAGATAGAGAACATTTAGAACATTCTTTAGGAATAAAAAAATGATGAATATACTAGCCAAACCAACTAGTTATATATATAATTTCTTTCTGTATAATAAAATGTAGCCTTCATATTTGAAAGAAACAGTCAATTTTTGTTAAAATTACAAGTGATCGATGGTTATTAACATGTGTGTAAATATATTTGGTTGCATTTCCCTGTATTCTACTAAATTATTCTGTACAAATCCAATCTTGAGATGTTTTATATTAAATAAATCTTTAACGGTTTGTTATGATTTCATTATCTTTCATTTGAGTTAAGCTAGATTTATTCGGCGTGTGTAGAAGTAAATATATTGTTTTTTTGTGTTCAATCATTTTCTCAATACATAACGCGTAATTTATGATGCTTTAGGACATCAGAAACACTCTATACAAAGTAAAATGATAGTATTTTTAAGAATTTGAAAAAGAAAAGGTTGTATAATTTTTAGGTCAATTAACTTTTTAATAAAAGGTATTGTATTGTTGATAATATAACCAAGACATATTTATTCTTGTTTCTGATGAAAATAATCGGAAACTATTCTGAACCATATACCATAATATCTCAAACCATTGAATTCCATGATCTCTAGTATCACAACCAGGGAGTCTTGTTGGACCTGAAGGCTATTTTTCATACTAATTAGAGTCGGCAAATAATGGGAACTGTGGAGGCCTTTGGAGTGACATACGTAACGCATAGTCAAGCTACTGAGTTCTATCTGTTAAGATGGTGATACTGTACTCGAACGCATTGCCGATCTCTAGGATGACTAACAAAGTGTCGCCACTAGGTATGAATAGTTCATCGGATTCAACCATATTCGAGTGCAGAAAGTCACCGAGCATCTTCAACTTCGAGAGGTCAGTATTTTATCATAGAGCAGAAATACTCTCATTGACGCTTTGTACATCCAAACCTTTACAACCGAACCAAATTAATAACAGGTCCAGAAATAACCTAGACTAGTTTAAATCGCTCTAGCCTTCACCACAAACAGATTGATTTCAAATGCCATAACACTAACGGTACTGAAAGCTACCCAGAAATACATATTCCTCATCATAAGTTAGTTCGGTCGCACTCTCGTAGCAGTTTTGTGAAAGTGCTTCTAATTTTGAAGGTACAGGTTACATGCTGTATTTAAGGGCGGTAATTGTCTAATAATTATGTACTGTTGGGGTAAAATGGATACCACCGCACTATAAAGTAATGCCGTTGCGTAATTGAGGCCGAAAAGTTTCTTACCAATTAGCGGGTCTACACCACTATACTTCTGGGGTTGTTTCCTTAAGGTTATCGATATTAATCCCTTTATTTGGTTAGAACAATGGAGAGAGTTGTTTGTGTGCTGCCACTCTGTCTCTTCTGCTTTTTTATTCTTCAACATGTTAATAAACTCAAACACATTTGTTTTTAATAGACAATGTCAGGACGCAGTCTCATTCAACATGTTGATGTCAAGAAACAAAGATTGTTATCCTGAAACATGTGGCAGCGCTCTGGCATTTGATAGAGTGTCAAGATGTAGTCAGTGGGTCGAAGACTAGTCCTTGAACCTAACTATGATATTGGGTTATAACAGGATTTGTACCTAATTTATTTAGATCAATCCGTTTAAGACAATGAATTTGTTGGTCTCTAAAACAAAATCCAGAATGATTAGGTGTCAAATTGTTTTCACATTATGTTTATTATTATCCTTGTCTATTCTTACCCCCATTTCCAGTCTAGTTGACCTTTTATTTTTATATATAAATGTTCTTAACAAGTATATGTGTGATCAGATTGTTCGAAATGTATTGCGCTAATATATCACATAGTTCTGATAATCTTCGTCTTCTTATTACATTATCAAAAGATAAGTGAATATTATTGTAGGATCAAGATATGGATAGGTGCTCCAGCTTTGTACACAGCTACTCTATCGGTAAGCGATGACTTCGAACAGAGTAAGAATTACAGGTAGCAAGGAGGTAGGCGATAATGGTGGTGCTGATCTGAAATATGTTGTAATTCTCACAGAGCTTTGGAAATCGGTCCACGTTATCAGATCTATGGCCAAAAAATCTCCTTCAGCCACCCATAGGATTCTCATCTGCTCTTAAACCCTAGGCCTACGTTCAAAAAATATTTCTTTGCTCATATGGTTCGAAATAGTGACAAAGAGATTGTGTAAGATTTCCTCAAATAGATTTTTATGAAGATGGTACAAGATGCTCTGGGTTCTACTGAAATTTCTAGAAAGAAGACAAATCTTAATGATTTTCTGTCTGTTGTGTTCTCAATTTATCTATAACTTATTGATCGATACATTCCCAAAAATATACAAGACGAGAAAAAATCAATTATGACTGACCAATTAAATTGATCACAATGATTTTACAAAAGATTAATTATTTTCTAAGTATCGTTTAGTAATTATTGAGTTAAAACTTATTCTCGGTTACAGTGTTATTTTAAAGATCGTTGCATACTCTGATAATTATAAGTCTATTCCTGTTATATATTGGTGAATTGGAAACATCAGATATTGAAGTCGTCAGTTTTCAGCTGGATTTATTATCTGCTCTTTCTAGTGAATATTTTCGTTGTTTCTTATTCTTTTTCCTGTTTGTAATCGAAAAAAATTGACTAAATATTGTACAGTATTTGTAGAGAAAAAATTAATTCCGGAAGGAAATTATCTAGTTGTATTTTCATCTAATCAACTGAAAACAGTGTTCATTTCAATGCTCGAACTATTAAAAATATTCAACATTTTATAATTGTAAATTCTCTATATAACTTTACATTTTACTTCTATCTGAAGTATAAGAATTGGTTTCTGACGTGAATTGAGTTATTCGGACCCTTGAGAATCTTTAAAACTTCATTAATGAATGTAAGTGCATAATTATTTGTAGTATTTAATACTATTGTTTAGATAAGATGGTGGTTGGAGGTAGTCCATAGAAAACCCTGGACCTAGGTTTCGTGCCATTTACCGCCCGTCGGCAAGGTGTACATGCACTCCTAAAGGGACTGAAGCTCCCTTACGGATTCGATCCCTTGTCACCCATCTTCACAGTCAGAAACATTACCACTGGGCTATCCGGGCCGCAACTGACCTCCTGTATGACTGAAATGTATCTACAAAATTTATAGAGGCCTCTAAAAATGAAATTCTCAAGTTGTCTTGTCGTTACACTTTTCGTTTTGTCTAAAACATCCTAATCTACAAATGAGTTTTCCAAACACAGTTCATCGTCAACTATCCAGACGGCTAACCAGCGATTGGAAAGGTGAAGTCAGTCAGCTACAACGTAGGACCTGGCACATACATGTGTCGGCCGAAGTTGCCACACCTCATTAGCACAACAAAATGAACACCAAATTAATAGAAGTAGTTACTTCAATGGTAGCAATATATGAAAGAAAGATTGCATATAAAGATACAGTACAGGAAGAAAGAATTACTTCGTAGAAAGTAAGGTACAAAGTAATCTCACGGTTCAGGGAAGACAGAGAGTGTATACCCCTAAACCACAGTGGCCGATTCTGAGTCATGCCACACAGAGTCTCCAACGATTGGTTACGATAGTCACGCGGACCCCAACCAGGTAGTCTGCATCTGCCAACATGGCTCAGACTAGAAGTTAGTGACTTCAAGGACTGATGCCACGTCTTGGTTTGGCCGCCCCTAACTCTTTTCCAACCATCACCAATACTAGTCAGTACCGCGCGTCGTGGAAATCGGTGTTCAGGCATACGCAACACGTGGCCCAACCATCTCAGTCGATGAAGATTCATGACCTCATCAACTGATTTACCATCATTTCCTAATACTCTGTGTCGAATCTCAATATTACTTACCCGGTGATCCCAGAAGATGCAAGCAATATTTCTAAGGCATCTGTGGTCAAATACTAGTAACTTACGAGTATCTTCTACTCTTAATAGCCATGTTTCACAGCCTTAAAGTGAAAAAGAACGGACTGCTGCGCAGTATACTCGTCCCTTAATTGATAGACAGATATCTCGTTTTCGCCGTAGGTGACGTAAGTTGGCAAAAGCCAAACGAGCTTACTGAATCCGTGCTGAGATTTCGTCAGACACTAACCCATTAGGGCTGATTAGACTTCCAAGATAAGTGAAGTTGTCGACGCGTTCGACTACTTTGCTCCCTATCCTTAGTTCAGGTGTTGACGCAGGCCAGTCCTGGAGTAACATTTTACATTTAGATTGGAAGAAACGCATCCCAAACATCCTTGCATTGTTGCTTAGTGCTATCAAAAGACCCTACATTTTATCAGCCTCTTCACCAAACAGGAATATGTCATCTGTGTATTCTAAGTCAATAAGTGGAACTCCTGGAAGGAGACCAATGCCCAAATATTCGGAAGACGAGAATGTTATTTTCAGTCGTAGGTCTATAATGAAGTTAAACAAAAATGGGGATAGTGGACAACCTTGTCGGACACCACTTGAGGTTGTAAAATCATATGACAGTTCGCCATAAGCTTTCACTCGACTTGTGATGTTCGAGTAAAGAGCCTTCACAAGGTTTATGTACTTCTGAGGTACACCTTTCAATGACAGACACTGCCACAGAACCTCTTGGTCTACAGAGTCAAATGCTGCTTTCAAGTCAAGAAAAACTATCATTGTCGGACGCCGATAAGCCTGTCTGTGCTCTAAAACTTGACGAATGGTGAATATGTGGTCGATACAGCCACAACCAGGTCTGAAGCCAGCCTGATTTTCTCGTGTTTGCAGTTCACAAGTCTTAGTTAGGCGCCCGATAATTATTGAGGCTGGTACTTTGGATGTTATGTCAGTCAGACTAATCCCTCTATCGTTATTACAGGATGATTTGGACCCCTTTTTATATATTGGGACAATCAGTGATTGTGACCAGTCATATGGGATTACGTTCAACACACAGATTTTAGCTAAAATATTAGTAAACCTAATCGATAAAACTAGACCGCCATCCCTAAAGACATCTGGAGCCAATCTATCTGGACCAGCTTCTCTTATTTGTTTGAGATTAGCTATAGCTTTCTAAACTTCAACTAGAGTCGGGAGACCTACTTCAATGTTCCATTCAGGCTATTTGGGAATGATGGGTAGTTGTAGAGTAGCTGATGGCCAGCTGAACTACCCCTTAAAGTGTTCCACCATCGTTCTAAACCATCGTATTGCCGTCATTGCACCGACGACCTAAGAAGTCTTGAATACGGGATCCAATTGATTAGTGCTACCTCAGCTCTAGCGCCAACGCCAGCAAGACCAGATGAAGATTCCACAGGGTCTCTGGATAAACGCCTGTTAAACAAGCTTTTCGAAGCAACAGATGGAGAGTGAATTTGTAGTACTCCAACACAGACTTGAGTACGGGAAGCACGGAATACAATAGACAGCTTCGATTCATCTAGACGACTTGGACTTCACAGATAACCTGGCTCTCGTATCCCATACATACGAGCAAATGCAGTTCAAGACAAGTAGCGTAGCGCCAGCCTGTGCATCAGTAGGCCTCAACATACACGATAGAAAAATCAAGATCCTGAAATGCAACACTGAGAACACCAACCCAATTACATTTGATGGAGAAGCGCTGGAAGAGGTGGAAAGTTTCACACCCCCGGACAGCAACATCGATGAACGTGGAAGATCTGATGTAAATGTAAAGGTAAGGATTGGCGAAGTAAGGACATCATTCCTACAGTTGACGAACATATGGAACTAAAACAACTGTCTACAAGCCAATATGAAAATCAGAATATTCAATACGAACATCAAGCCAACTCTAGTGTACTAAGCTGAAACATGAAGAACTATCACAACTATCATCAAAAGAGTGAGTATTTATAAGCAATTGTTTATGCAAGATACTGAATGTCCGTTGTCGGGAAACCATCAACAACAGCCTACTGTGCGAGAGAAGAAACCAGTTTTCATGTGAAGAGGAAATTAGGAAAAGACGTTGGATGAGGATAGGAAACACATTACGGAAATTATCGAGCTGCATCATGAAGCAAGCACTAACTTGGAATCCTGAAAGTAGATGGAAAAGTGTTAGGCCAAAGAATACACTGTGTCGAGAGTTGGAAGCAGACATGAAAAGGATGAATAGCAACTGTAAATAAATGGGAAGGATTGTCCAGGACAACGTTGTATGGAGAATGCTGGTGGGTGGCCTATGCTTTTCCACGTGGGGTAACAGAGGAATGTATGTAGGTATTTTAAATGTAATGGTATTCAAATTATAATGATCCAATCTTTGAATCATATGAAATTCCATTTCTCCGCAAAATCAATAATTTGATAATATGTATTAATAATGAAGTTATTTATTTAAAAGGAGAACAAAAAGTATCATCAAACATCAAGAAGTGTACAGATTATCTATTTCACTTTCAAAACTGATCGTACTTCATTCATGTTGTGTCATATTGGTTTGTCACTATCAATTGAATTATTTCGTTGCTCCTTTATGTGTAATGTTTATAAATAAACATTTAGACTGTTCGTAAATGAAGTAGTATATCGAAACCAGAGTGAAAATCAACATTGGGAAACGGGTACACTCACCCGATAAAACCCAAATGAAACGAGATACATATATAACGTTTCAAGACTCACTATGACCTAACAAGCTAACGATAATCTTTAAGAAAGTTACTTGGACAGATTCTCCTTTATACATGAAATGTACTTTATCAGCACATACGTATTACACAGTATAATTATAAATCTTTCTAGCATGTTAAGGAAATATTAGACTAGTGGATTTGTTTAAATTTATGCTGTTAGTGTTACTTGATAGAAGCAATGAATGCTTTATAGTTAAAAGTATTGAAAACAGAACACCACAAAAATGACTACTTATTTAGAATAATATATTTAAATTGCTGAAATTCATTTTTACGATTAAACTTAACAACTTTGTTGACTGTTACGAAAATTAAAGATAAAAAGTCTGAATTACAACAACCGACTATTAGCTAATATTGGTTTGAGGTAATCCATAAAAGCGTAAAAAAACTGACAACATGAAGAATATTGATTCCATATTGCACCATAATGGATGTGTCGAGAGCAGACAAGTTCGGATAAACCCAAACATAAGATGCATATAATGTGTTACGTTATCGATAAGATATCACTGTAATATGATTTTTCAGAGACGCTAGAGATCATGTTCATACCTGTTTGCAAACACCATTTATTAATCAAACGCGTAAGAAGATGGAAATAAGACAAGAATAATTAATTTCAAGTTTTTAAAAATGATTAGTTGTATAATCTTACTTAAGATATTTTCAGACTCATGAGATCTGGCTCAACAGAAACTAATTACAATGGGGTTACTACATTGAAATCTTATTACCAATATTCTGTCATAATGTATATTTATTGTCGTTCATTGAAACTAGCTATTAAGCTTTTCAATGAAAAACCGAGTAATATTTACTAAATCAATTCTATTTATAAAATAAGTACTCAGAAGAGTATTAGAAGGCAGTTATAAATTATTCAGTGCCGCAAGTTAAAAAGTATCAACTATGAAATTAGAACTTAGTGATAGGAAATGGAAATTTATCGTCTTTCTTTGAATTTCGAACATATTAAAGAGAAAGAACTGAACAGTTCCAACGGAGAGTTGAAGTTTCAAGAATAAGTAACTGTCTCCGAATAAAGATTAAACATTATAAATTGGTATTCTAATTTATATAAATTTGACATCTGAACAGATATAGAATATGTTGAGGTTTAATTGAATGTAACATTAATCAATCGGGTTCAGGTACAATAAGCTGAAGTTTGAATAAAATATGTATTGTATCTTGTAACTACTGAAAGCAGACAGAGATAAACAAACAGACAAGAAGCATTTACATCAATGCTAATAATTTTCACACTAGATAGACAGAAACATAGCTCACCTCAATAGATACTTACCAAATGTATTTTCTCATAACAAATAGCAGTTTTTCAAAAAGTATCCTTGTTGTTGCAATACAAATTCCTGAATGTATACAGAGGTGAATTGCCGAAAAAGTCTCAAAAGTCATTAATAAAAAAGGTTGAAAGTGTAATTTCTAGAGATAGGATAACAATAACAATACGACAAAATACATATTCACTATCATATTACTATCCTTAACAAGGAAGGATTTTCCATCTTGTGTAGCTATTGTCTATTCACTTAATTAAATGAATAAAAGAAGTAATAGCCAGTGTAGAGTCTGGGAAGAATTAGTGTTAACCTAAGTTTTCATATCACACCAGCACAGAGAGATGAAAGTAACAAGATGAGTAAAAAAGCGGTTGAGTTGTTAGTAAAATAAATGATAGTTAGAAAGATCAAACACCGGAAATATGTTTCGAAAAGACAAAATGAAAAGAAGTTATTTATTAGACAAAATTGAAACTAAAGACGTAGTGGTTGAAAAGAGTGGATATATCTGAGTTATTGTGACCGATTCTTATTCATATCACTTAAAGTCTTCCAACACTGATCTCGGTTACCGTATGGACCTCAACCAAATAGTATGCAACTACTAACGCAACACAGCCAGAAAGGTAATGATTTCATGAACTCGTACCATGTCTTGGTTTGGGGGGCAACTCACTCCTACTCTAGCCAATATTGTACGTTGAGATAGACAGTTGCCGGACATATAAAACCCATATTACAGCTATTTTAGTTACTAAAGTCATAATCCTAAATATTACTACAGGATTGCTTCATTATTCCGCGATATTTAGGAGATATTCAGAAGACAATTGTATTAAAATACCTGCAACCTCACCATGTGGGAAGAATACGATTAACTGAAAAGTTATGTTAAATCGATTTTATACAGTTAAGTAATCTTTTGTATAGACAGGGTCTCGAAATATCATTTTCTGCAAACACTGCTTTTTTCTAAACTGGAATGATAGGAGTAAATAGAGACTATCATAACAGTGTTACATGTCTACAAAGTAATTTAAACATCATTCAGTGTTTCTGATAAGTAGATAATGATCTTATTATATTTATTCACCTTGACTGTAGAGATCTGATGCTATAACTTCTTGTAATATTATTTTCATGTACTTTATTCATAATTTATGATAATCTAAATCACTTTTCTAAACTATCAATTTACTCAATATCACATCATTTAACTGTAAATATTTTTATATATTGTTGAAATCATGAGTCAATTGAACCTAGACCATAGAAAACCTGGAAGCACTGGACGGCCGTTTCATCCTATTGTGGGACTCTTCAGCAGTGCGCATCCACGATCCCGCCTCGCGAGATTCGAACCCAGAGGATATTCATTTTAAAATAGGTGAAAATTTTTTTGTGATTGCTTATATTGGAAAATTAGTGTAGTGGATGATTAAGAACTTGGCCAGAATATGGGGAAAGAAAAATACGTATATAACTCAAACACTTATGATATTTAAATCAATGATTAATTACTTTCATTCACAAAAACACTTTTCGTTTATTTAGCTTTAATTTTTCAGATAAGTGATATGATTTATATGGAGACATATGTACCATATAAAGCTTATAAACATTTTAAGGACTATCACAGATAAAATCGATTGATAAAATAATTCAAAATTCATCATTCATAGTAAGATTTACGTACTGGTTGTTTAATTCAGATAAAGTGAATTTGAATTTAAAGCTCTCCACATGCTTAAAGTTCATTTTCTATGGAGGTGTCCACTCAAACTTTGAAAAACGCACGTATAGATTAATCATCCCTGTCATGAGATAAACTCAGGCTTTTTATAGACATATAGAATTCTTTTAATCATTCCCTTATCGTAGGTCAGCTTCGTATATCAAATAACGAATTCTGAACAATGTAAAATTAAAATCAAAAGATGCTTACCAAAAACGGACGGTTGTAGATAAGCAATGAAAATCAATCACTGGAAATTTCAGGTTATCGATTTATCAAATAGCATTCCTACTACTTATAAGTAGCTACGTATGGTTAACGGTATTTGAATTCTTAATCACAAGGCTACTCTAAGATTCTTTCAGAGATAAGTGCTTGCCTAAAGTCATGGTCATATTAATTTAATATCTAAGGTATGATTAAAGGAATGAAAAGAACTTACCAATACACCATAATAGAGATATAATCTTCACTGATACTTATATGCAAAAAAGAAATGTGATGAGATTCCTTTTATTTCAAAAACAGACATGTTTAGAAGTAAGAAATTGTTAACTTTGAAACTTATGACAATATGAACATTGATACTCAAATTCTGGAGCCCATAAAAAAATTTAAAAAAACTTCCATTAAGCTGAGAGCTATCAATTTATAAGTCTAAAAATAATGATATTACCATGGCAGCTATTCAAACAAATAATATTCAAACAAATAATTTTCCCTAATGTTGCTAAATAATGGTAAAATCAACTTACTGTAAAGGTATTTGAATCAAAATCACGATAGTAGAATATAAGTCACAACACTTCACCTTTCCAAAACATATATTCGATAGTGTGGAGCCTGTGACCAGGAAAAGACCATGAATAAATTTGTGCTTTTTAGTAAAGAATGAACATATTCCGTCCTAGAGGCCATATTAAGAGATGTGATTGATTGGAGGCTCATATAGAGTGAAGGCAGTATGCGAAGAAATTATTGCTTCAATTAGAACTTAAAACTTGTATTGTTGGCAAGATATATTGTTTCTGCATATTACCTATTGCTAATAAACTCCATAATTTAAGAAAAAACAAGCCTTTTACTAAAAAACAGCGTGTTTATTAAATGTCGCCATATGAGCCTCTGCTTTAAATTTTGACCAATCAGGATTCAATATTGTCAGCTTGATATAATATATAACGCAGTGTCATGCAATCGTAGCATTAGGAACGGTACGCTTTATTGTGTGCGTTGTGGTCGGGTCGCTGTGATTGGCTGGTTCGTTCGTATGACCTTGAGCGCTAGCGATGACAGTTATTGTTTTTCTGCTTGACAACAGCGCAGCAATGAACCAGCGCACTTTTCAAGGTACTACGTTACTAGACGTTGCAAAGTCTGCAGTAGAGATTTTCTTCAAAGTTTGTTTGTGGAATTATCTTTATTACACTAACTGGTAGATAAGGATGAGCAAATCAAGAGTAGATCGTTATTTTGTGCTTACTCTCAATTCCGATATAAGTTATGTCAAAGTATGTCACCATAATCTTCTTAATTGTTGTAGCTTACCGGTTGGAAACAGAACGTTGATCTTCAGTTACTTCATTCTGCCTTAAATAATATAAAACCAGATGGTCTAATAGACTTGTCAACTGGCATTCAAAGAACATTCCGAATGTTAAACATAAATAGATTGCAACTCGGACTGGAAAATTATGGGATGGTATTTAGCATTTATCAGTTGATATTTTTTAAGGGAATTTATCCATCATGTATTGAACCCTCTGTGATAATATGTATTACTTGTAGCATAGGGTCATGCAGTTTCGATGGTCAAGTTTTCAATGTAAGTTTGACATAATTCCTTAATTATGCTAAACAGGATGCATCTACAACTTCCATAGAATCTGCTGTTCTTGGAAATGTTTTGACAAAAGAGACTTTTCGTTGGGATTACCGCATGTATTCTCTGGTACTTCGTTTTCCAGCATTTGTCAGTAATATTCATGCTGGTAACTCCTTAAGATCAGAAACAAACTCACCGCTTAAAAAACTTGCGGAAAAAACTGGCGGTGAAAGTTTTGATGTTTACGACGGTCGGGAACTCCACCAATGTCTCGACTCTCTTGTTACGAAATGTCAACCTGGCGTGGTTTTAAAATTACGAAGGTCTACTGATTGCGTTGATACGGTTTGTCAAGAGAAATTTGTAAAGCAGTTGATGTCAGTTAAGTTAATGGGAAGATCATCGTCTTGGCCTATTCCAGAACAATTTTGGCCTGATGATGAGATGCTAGCATCACAGTTGGTATGTCGAGAGTATTTTTATATTTCCATTGAAGCCACCTAGAAGTGCACATCCTGAAATCCTTGTATCTAAAGTTCCTGTGGCGGAACCTGAATTGCCCGAGTATTTTCCCGTCGACCGTTACGAGTTGACTCCGTCACATCTTACGAAAGAGTTTCTAAATTCATCGGAGCACAACATGGTGTGGCGTTGTTTCAGCTATGGTATCAAAAAGAGTCAGAATTCACCGTTTGGTTATTTAAAAGCATCAAATGATCTACAGTCAGTACATCTACATATACTCCCTTACAATTATCCTGTATTTCTTCAGTTACTTGGTAAGTCACAACATATGTTATAAAATTTTAAGGTGATATATGTGATCATAAGCGTATGACGGAAGCCTGGGGTCATCAGTTTGTGAACTATCTAGGAACTATACCAAAATATTACTTCATGGTACTATTCTTGTGATTTCATTCATTTTTTAAGCCCCTAGCGAAGGCGTTTGAACGAATAGGGTTTGCCGGGATGATTAAGCCCGAAGCTATTGATCGTGCATTACCTTATCAACTGAAACATTCTTTGCAAAAACTTCGACATTCAGCTAAAGTTGAATACGATAACTTCGTGCGTATGACACAAACTGACAGCCCCTCAAACTCAACTGTTACTGTAAGTAAATACCTTAGTTATTTTTCAGTTACCTTCAGCTTTATTACCTTTGCCTTTGTGGCCTTTACGTGAATTTAAATCGATGTATATCAAACCCAAGCGTCTTCATTCAAATTCTCTCCGACCTTGTAATATATCTCGAATCAATTTGCGCGTAGTTTTGGGAAAAATGAGGCATGAACTTGATAATCTCCTAAATGGTTCATCTAACATCCGAGCAGTTGACTTGATTCATCAACAACCAGTCGCCTTAATGGGTGATTATGTTAATTACAGAAATTCCCGGGAGGTCGAAACACCTTTGAGGGAGATAAATCCAACTCCTGAGCGGTCGGATACATTCGGAAACCCTTTTCGACGGAAATCTACATCCTTCGTCGCGGATGAAGGTTTCGTTGATGAGATGGATTCGTTGCAGGTTAATTCTTGCAATCCGAATACAGTTCCGCTCAATTTCGGGCGAAAAAAGTCTGCACAAAACACCAAAAATCCTCAAGCAAGAGTCAAAGGTAAGATAGAATTTAGCCACTCAACTTCTTTCAGGTCCATTACCTCCGTACATTAATCACCTGAATTGGCGTTTTTTCTCGCCGAAATCTTCACCGGTCTCATCGCCTAGATCTTTGGATAATACCTTCAGTGAAGAAACACCAAACGCAATTTCGTCTCCCATGTATACTGACGACTCTCCTTCCTTAATTAACCACTCAAGATTTGCTAACCAAGCAGTTATAAAAAAACCAAGTTCTTTTGATACTAGAAATACGTCGTCACTGGAAAGTTTTAAATTAAACAAGAAAATTATGTTCGAATTAATTCATTTGGTCCGACAGCCTTATACAGGTAAGTCTGTATGTACAAGGACTTTTATTTCTTTCGTTACATCATCTAACCGGTAATCTTTTTCATTTAGTAGATGCAGTACTATTATTTGACCGCATGAATGAACTCACTGGTTCAATTGGGCAAAGAGAAGCTGTGGTTTCGATGTTGATGTCAGAAGCTTTGAGATTCAGAAGATCATGTTTATATGTTTTACTGAGTGATTGGCGAACATGGTTGCTGCAAAGTGGCGATTCGAAAGACCGTATTATTTTGCAAAAATCGAATCAGGTGGCTGCTAAAATAAACCATATTAAATTAAATGGGTGGTCCTGATCAAGTCGATCTGTATATTATGATCTACTCAATTTATTTTGTATAAAGCTTTTACATACTCAATACTTTCAGATGTAAATAACTGAGGGTTTATTATTGATGATGTACATGGTGTATAAATTTCTCGCGTATTCTTTGAGAAATGGCCTTATTTTCATAATCTTAACCTTTTGCTCACTAGTTTGTACACTGTTGATATACAATAAAATTACTTACAACTCATAATTCTATGGTTTTATCGCTTTAGATTATTACTCATGTTCTATTCAACATTAGTTTTAGGTTGCCTGAAGAGTGAATGGTGCTTAATTTTGATGGGAAGAGATATAATTGCGAGAAGTCGTCGATATACGTATTCGCTCAATGGTTCTCTACAAGTTCATTTGTTAAGAGTATCGCGGATGATTTCAAAAAAAGTCAGTCAATCAACGTTGAGGATTGTCTTTCCTCAGTTTATGTTCATCAAGGTGAAATGGCCACTATACCATTACTGGCTACCAATGTACCTACAAGCAATATCATTCCAGAATACACAACATCTGATGATGCAACGTCCTGTTACATTGTTGTCTTGCGTTGTTCACTCGGTTGTTCGATAGGACATCTGGATACTCCATTGCGCGTCAGGTCATTTTTCAGAAATTCTGAACGTTTCTTCTTTTCAAAAGGAAGTGTTAATGTCACAGTCCACATAGTCGGGGGGTTTCCAGATCCACGAAACATCTCACATTCTATACTAGTTGAAATACTTTCATCGCTCACATGTAATGATCACAGTTATGAACTTGGAGTATGCTGTATCGGTGAAAATAATATCCTTAGCTCTAGTGGTGGAAAATCACAACCTGCTATTTTGGGTGTCATCTTCAATATTAAAACCAACCAAATAAACCCAGCTCGTATAAGTTGGAAAGCACGTGGTCCTGTTCCTGTGTTAAGACTTTTACGCCTAGAATGTGTAGATTCAGATGAAATAACTAACGTATTCAACCAGGACAGAGGTTATCTAATTATAAATCCTTTCCTGTACGTCCGCCCAGCTTTTGTGAATGCGCAAATCACATCTGAAGAAATGCGAGCTAAGTCCACAACACCTGAGCAAGAACCTGCAACATACTTTGAAGGTCAGACTGCTGTGCACCGCATAATGTTTCACTGCCCTAACTCACTACGTTGGTTTGAACGTGGTCCACTGATGTTCCGTTGTGTTCTAGATTCAAATAAACCGTGGGTCCCTTTAAGTGAAGCTTCTGCAGTTGCATCAGAAGACCCTTTAACAAACGTTGAAATATAACCTCACTGTAATATACTATTGACTTCTTCCTTTGTTTTTTTTCAAGTGCAAACAATGATTTCGTTACGCCAAGTCACCTTCGTTGAATGCTTAGATCCTTTAAAGTAAGTGTAAATGCGGGTTTAGGTCTGTATAGGATATCATATATTTTTAAACATGTGACCTTGTATAAATGCAAAGCTTTGGATCGATGGAGTAAAAATGAATATTAAGAGAATACAAGCATTTCAAAATGCTAACAAGATACATGTAAATACATTTTGAGCAAAGGCTATCAAATGTGCCTATGTACATTTCAAGAAAATGTAACTGAGAAGAAAGTCATTGTTCGGTTTAAAGTATGAATATAGTGAGTAGAGGTAAAAATATTGACGTGATTAGTTGTTGGTGGGGTGCTGAATTGTAGTTATGTGAGACAGTGTCTTCCTTTCCGTATAGGGGACCTTCAACACTATATTCTCGTATTAGTAATATGGGTGGCACCGGCTGCCCCGGGCTTAACTTTGCTGGTACCCACACTTCAGGGGGTGGCAGAGGTGGTTGTGGAAGAACCTCTGGAACATGGTCGATCCGCGATGGTATAGGTGGTTGTGTTGGCTGAGCTGAGGGAGGCAATATGGCTGTATCCTCCGGAACTGGATTCTGCAAAACTCCAGGGTTGCCACTCCTACTTCCTCCCGGTGTATCTTGCCATTGTGACGAGCCTGCTGAAATGGAAAAAAAGTTGGTTCAGATTGAGAAAATTGGAAAATGATACATCATGAGAAAGCTTATGGAACTATTTTACGAAGAATTGTTGTTTATATTTTTATTGTATAATTACTAGGCATTTAGATTATTTCATGCTCATATCCTCCCAATTTTTCGTTCAGGATTATTGTTAAATAATTACAAATTTTTACTCAGTTCTCTTTCACTCATGGAGTAATTCTGCCTACATTGTGATTTCCTATTCATGTTGATGTGCGGTTAAGAGCTTGCTCTATATTATTGTGCTAATTGAGTCACATAACAAACTGCTAAACAACGGAGAAAAGGTTTGTTTGATAACTTCGTCTTGGATATTGGCCAAAACAAACTCAAGGACCGATACGGGTTAACGTCCCAGTCGTTTTACGTTGGACGCCAAATGATTTTTAATTAGGTCATCGGTCTAGCAGGCGAAACAATAAATAACTGGACATGATAATTATCTGCTCCTATAATAGTGCGCAAACAAAACAAGAAAATTGCTCTTTTGAAGAATTAACAGATACCAAGTTCATTCCAAATTATATGTATCACAACAGATTTAAGACACTTACTGTGACGATCGTTTTTGTCCTCATTCCATTCTATGTTGGGACTCATCCCACTAGCTCCTTCTAGGAACCCTGAAGCTAGCTTATCGGGAGAAACGTTCCAGACTTCTTCATCGCCTCGATTTTCTGGCTCTTGGGTGGTTGGATAGAAAGGTTGATTTTTGTCCGGTTGGGGACCAATAAATTCTTCATTGTAACGTGTATCTGCAGCGTTGGGGTTTGCCAGTTTTCTGCCGGACTGTGTCCATAAAGTTTGGGGCCCTTGGTATTGCGGTGTAAGGACTGATGGTGATATACCACTGCCACCGGAGCCCTATAAATAGAAATAAAGCAACGCAACACGTCACGTGACATGGCATCTAATAAGCATATGTTGAGGAAACGGTGAAATCATCGGGAACTAGTTTAATTAATGATGCATCTATGACCGGTTATGTTTCTTTTAACTATAAGCTTAGCAATGTAAAATATGGCAGGGTAGCGTAACTGTTTTAATCCTATCTTTCAACCAAAAAACCTATAACCTCGAGAAGCATCTTAATTCACCATTTTGAGGTAACAGATCATTTTGATTACTAGCTATTCATCTATACTACTTTTTTATTGCACTGGTAAACTTTACACAACATTTAGGTAGACTGTTTTTCCTATTCAGATTCTGATTAATTAGGATAGGAAGACAATTTTATATTTCGTGCTATATTGTATGCAAGAAACACGTTAAACAAAACTGAACCAATTGAAATGTTTAATTTCATAATCACTGACAACCGCATCATCAATATCTGTAGTATTTTACTGTATGATCACAGAATTCAACTTTCCAGGTGGAGAGCTGAACCACTTACACGTAGATCAATTCCATAAAAATCAACCTCGACTACTAAATGTGCAGAAATAAATGAAGCCTAGAGACTATTCAATAAGCGATATGTTGTTTACAGATAAACCTTATACAATAAAGTTTTGAAGTGTATTCTGTATATTATACAAACCGCTAATGAGAATTTAAAAAATATCCAAAGGAAAGTTAACAAATTTTGTTAGCGACTGTGGTTACACAGAAAGAAATACCATATTAGATGTTTAACGTGGCTAGTTTTAAAGATATACATCACTACCATAGAAGCAAAACGTGTTTCAATTTAGGAATATCAAACTTGCTACAAAGTGCAGGGTTTATTGGTAATCCTAGATTAGAGTGACCAACAGAAAACAAACATTCAGTACTACTCACTGCCTTCTCATGGCGGGGGTGTTGTTTACAAAATCGAGAGGACGGAAAGCGAATATCCGGCGCTTTAACCGGGCCGGTGGATACAGTGAGTCCACCTAGTTAAGTTGGAAAACCCTGATTCCAAACCAATGATGCGCTTGGGTTCCAGTATCCTGAGGGAACAAATGGCGTATGAACTAATTGTTGGCCACCAGCTACCATGAGACTGCATCTCCTTACGTTGCTCCACTGTCTTGTGGATCAGACCTTTATGTCAAAGGCTCAGGGTGTGGCCCCGTAGGAAAACCATCTGCTTCGGTTTGGGCACCCGGGCAGTATCGCAGCTCTCACATAACTGTGTGGCGCATATATATCTGGTGCCCCCTTGTACCAATGTTTATGCGTTGAAATAAATAAGTAAAGACTTGACTGCTCAGTCATGTGGAAGCTGGAACATATATGTTTCGCTTCAGGTTACCACATATTATCAGTACTGCGAGACTGGTATGAAAAAATTCAGTGTTTCCATGTTATTTCTTTGAGAATATCACTAACTGTTCTATTACTGAAATATTAGATGTCATGAACTTATTCACCTCGGTCAATCGCCAAGTTAAAACACTGATCATATGAGGTATGCAAACTATTAATAATTTACAGACAGTTCATAACAGTCCAGGATAAGGATGCTAGAACAGAATGAACCGTTGTATCGAAATCTTATGCATCACATAGGTAAATATTATAAACTAAAGAATAGTGACTACACTTTCACTGTATCATGATCTGTCGTAAGGAATGAAAGAGTTTAGAGTGTATAAGTATTATCTTTAATATTCAAAAACATTTTTAACTCACTTCATGAAAACGTCGACGGGAAACCTCAGAAGTTTGATGCCAAGAATTAATCTTTTGAGAATCAGGTGTTTGATAAGGTATTTGTTTTGAGATCATTTGAGCATTATCTTCGTCGTCTGGCAAAAATCCAATATTACTTGATTGGTCAGTTGACGGTAAGAACGATTCTGTGTATGTGCCTGATTTCAATTTTGGATCTATGTAAAGTTGTGTTGTAGTTTGTGGATGTCTATCTAATGCTGAATCTGTCCGGACAGTTAGAGGTGTTTGTCTCGTAACACTTTCTGTAACAATATCTTTCACTTCCAGTGATGATGAATCACTTGGTTTTTCTAATGCACTTGGTATTGTAATTAATTCCGTGGAATTATACAGTAACGCAGTGGAAGCTGTAACAGTAGTTGAAGAAAACGTTGTCGTCGTAGTTGTTGTTGTCATTCCCGTTGTTAAAGGTACTGATTCTGTTGTGGGTTCTTGAAAAATTGGTATGTTGAAGTCTGTAGAACCGTTAAATTTCCATTTATCTCTTTGATGTTCGACATTACCCCAACTATTGTACACACTAGACTTCTGTGGCCATTGTTGTGTAGATTTTTGGTTAAAGTACATATTTGAATCTGTACCTTGACTAACTACCGTTCTTTTAGTATCAGCATTTATAACTGAACTGTACATACGAGGATCGTTTTTATTTTGAGGGTCGTCAGGAAACATATTATTGAATTGACTAGATGACTGCTCGTAAGATTGAGAAAGGGAATCATCCGGAAATTGTAAAGTATTCGGTTGATTTCCACTTCCACTCTGCAAAATTAAGGAAATGAGTTCGAGTGATTAGTGTCATAAACAGAGTATTGGTTTAAGGTGTAGATATTTAGAAAATGAGTTACAGACAAAAGGCTATGAAATATGTTTTTGTCTTGTTAAAATCTATAAATAAGGATAACTGAATAAAACAGACTATATAATTTATTTTTGTTGTAAAAACAACCAGTCACTTTCTCTATTACATATTAGAAAATTTAAATACTCAAAGTTAAAATTTTTAATCTAGTTCGATGGTTTGCTCAGAGAAATTGAATTTAAAGAAGTGTGCACTAGACAGCTTGTTTCTTCTCGATCTGAGGCTTTTTGGTAGTGTATACTCAAGACCCTAAACACGATTCAATCCATGATCAGCCATAACCTTACGAACATTGACTTGGAACAGAATGGTCGACATTATTATTATTAATGGCTTTATTCAATATTATATTTAAGTATAACATAGAATTCTCAACAGCTTCAATCAATTAGTGATAAACTGCAATTGTTGCTCAATGTCACTGGTTGTATCTGTTCCAATCTTGAACATCACTAATTACAATTTCTTAATAAAACTTCGGAAATTCATCTTCCAACTTGCCACTGATCAGTAGATCGAAATTGAGACAACTATGATTGATGAAATTAGATAATGGTTGTGCTATATTATAAATTGACTGAAGTTAGATACATGGATCATTGGCTTCACACTATGACAGATATGCTTTTCAGTAGTATTCGTGTTAATCTCAGTCCACAATGACAATCTGTTTTATTTGCAATTATGAATTTTTTGTAAGTTCATTGTGTATACATATTTTTGCCAACTCTTTTATAAACAATAAATATAACCAAGATGGTTGGATTAATTCCAGTAACTAATGTAATTTTAACTGTGTCACAGCATTAAAATCAGGAATTGCAAACATATTTACTACCTTTGAGAGTATCAGTGATGATCAGAAAGTTGAATTTGTGCAGCTTCGATTAAGATAAAGTTATGAATCATTGACTGAATGATCACATACGTGTATAAACATGCTCGAAGATAAAAAAAAATGATGAGTTACAATTTGCGTGTCAAAAGTAACATTTCCAACAATCGTACAGTCATAAAACTATATAAATTAGCAAGAATAAATTGAATAAGGAAGATATTTTCTCAAGTTATAATGACATCAAAGTGTAATAAAACTGATTTAAAACTATTATGATTGTTTCAATGATAAAATTTGTTTCATCACAATTATTTTGACTTTGAAATATTTCTCGTGTTAAATTGTATACGAAATATGATTATATCAAAGAAAAGAAACATTATACCACTTTACGAAGGAATAATAACATAAATTGGGTTCGAAATATATGATAACATTTCAAAATTAAACTGGAATACTCGGATACAAATGTGTAGAAATTGCTTTAGAATGCAAGACAAAAACTAGATATTGATAAGAACTGCATACCAACAGTCTGATACATAATGATGTGATAAATAGCATAATGAGCTTACTTCGATCCTAATATTTCTTTCCGTTTCATATGAATTATCCATTCTAGATTGCTTAGGACCTTGCCATTGGTCCTGTGCGAGAAATTGGTTTGCTGAGAGAGGATCAGTTAAACTGGCCGACAAATAACTGTTTTGATCATTTCTTGAGTAAGTACCAGAAGCAGAATTCGATCTAGGAGGCAGTTTGACAACTAATGTATCTGGATCTTTCGTATTGGTTGAGGCTTCGTGCAATCTTTTGGAAGCTTCATAAAGTTGGGTTAAAATTTGTGTAATTCCAGCATCAGGTGGAGTACTAAATACATCAATTAAAGAAAAGATGACTAAAATTTTAATAAGAGACCCGACTATATGATATAGTATATTTCGCACAGACGTTGACGTCAGATGATTCGATCACAGTGACAAACAAAATTATTAACCATTTACACTGCACGAAATAATTGATTATTGGAAATTAGACTTTCAAATAGAGGTTATTAGGATGAATGAACATAAATCCTTCATCTGGATGAATTTAATTCAAAGAATGAGATGTATTTAGTGGTACATTTTTATGTACATATAGAAGATGAAGTGTTAAGTGATGCTAAGATTTGAAAACAAGTGTTTATTTCATCTATCAACGCTGTGAATCTATGTTTATACTCAATTGCGGAAAGTACGATTCTCAGAATTTCTGCCAATATAACATTGACAAACGAATAGCTGATAAATATTCAGATTAATTTTATGGGACCCGGTAATTCAGTAGTTCTTTTACTGCATATTAGACTCTTAATCACACCTGTTGGAAAGTCAACTTTAACATATATAGGTTAGAAGAAACTTGGAGGCGGGCAAATTAAAAAGGGAGACCAAATATTAACTGTTGGTCTAAGCAATGTTAGTAGATGTAGACCACCTGGTTTGGGTCCATGTGGGTATTGTAACCAATAGTTAGAGACTGAGTGACATGGCTGAGAATCATTCACGATCGTCCAGATGCATTCACTCTCTATCTTCCCTTTCGATGTTGAATTCCAGTATCTATTCATGCAAACATTTCCACCCTGTGTTTTCAAGTCATATTACTAAGGTTTAGTATTTCATATTAACATTGCTACTACATTATTTTGATCAGTTTTGTGATCATTATCTCGTCGTAGTAATGAGGTATGGCAACTTGGGCTAACGCATATCTGTGCTATGCTCTATCCTATTGATGCCTGTCAGTTAGAAAACGTCTTATAAGATATCAGTCAACCACAAGAACAGTAAATATATTTCATGATTAGAAGTGATTATTCTTACATTAAGCAAACATTGAAAAAAAAATCACTTTATGGGTCTATATTTTATGTCAGAGATTGTGTTACTTTTGGCTTGTTTAACACAGTGGTAACTTATTTGAAATATCTTTGATTGGTTTAGTAATTCAGCGTGGATATATCTATAAGATTATGTAATCGTTTAAAACAATAATTATCTTTTAATTTTAAAGATTATTAACAACCTTTGTTGTGTGGTATTTCTTCTTATTTAACAAGTTTAATGATAGATTTGTGCAATTAGAATAAAACAGATAAACAATCTAATCTAACATAAACTTTATTTGTAAATGATGTATACAATTAGGTATTCTTTACTCCTACAACTAATATGCTTTAATGAATTTAATATTAATTTATTTCCACAATTTTATTAATAAACACAATAATATTTATGGAATAACTTTTACGATGAAATATTCTCATACTATTAATGGGGCAGAATAGACTTTAATAAAAAGTGTGTGTGTGCTTTAAATAAACAAATGAATGTATAATATTTGTCATTAAGTAATATAAAATAAATGAAGTTGTTTTAATGCATTAATTCACAACAGTTTTATTCCAGTTCAACCATTGATAAATGTTTATGCAATTTTAAACGAAAAGAAGCTAAGATAATTCTATCACAATGATCAAACTCATATAATACATGAGAATATAGTAGTATAAGGGATTAATTGAATTTTGTATAGTTTACCTATAATATTACTGATTGAAATGTTAAACGATGAATTCAAAGCTCTAAGAAAAGTCAAGTTCTTTTGAGATTGTAGAACATTAACATTACGAAAAACATGTTATAATACGTTTCTACAGAACAGTTATGAATATATAAAATGAAATACAATGCAAAAATATATTCAGTTGTATAACAACTTAGCGCATGCGTTATAATATTCCGTCGGCAAAAATCACCAAGATAAAATAGATTAACTATTCGCCACTGATGTGTCTTCTGACCTCAAGACTTTAATTGTCGTTCTGGAAACAATTAGAACTTGTTTGAAATAGAACAGAATATTAAGAACTAAGCCATAAGTGATGAGTCCATTTCGATTATGAAAACAATCAGTCAGTAACTGGTTGATCAGAAGACAATGATTCGATACTTTATGAGTAATTATAAAATACACTCCTCTATTTGAAGTAGGCACTGAAATTGTTGACCATAAAAATTTTAAAAACTAAACTGACTAGCCCCAAACGAACATTGGCAAATACATTAACTGGAGCTACAAAACTTCATCATTTCAGCAGTATATTATTTTAGGTTACTGTTTAGAGAATAACTCGTGCATGTGTCTTAGGAGCTTCAATTTTAATTATTGACATCTATACTGAAATCTCGTTTCATTTGTTACAGTTTGAAACACTGATATGTGATTTTATCTACTATACAATTGGTGGTATTCACGGAGTATTACATGAAGCTGTAATAGCTTACCAAGATACATTAATGCAATTTATACTAAGAAGCCACTTCATTGAACTAAAATATATTTATTATATTTTGGGATAGTGGTTAGCACTGGAACCGGTAGTCTCACTTCAACTGAATGACAGGAAATTTCTTTGGGAGAGGTAAGCGCTAGACCCCACGAGTATGCTATGAAAGCCAGAAAAATTATATCCCAAGGCTATCAGTAGGTGAGAAGCATAAACGAGGCATTCTATTGGAGCGAATGGATTATACACTTAGATAAGATAATTTTCCACATATCTTTGTTTGAATGTATATACATATATATATATTATATATATATAAAAACGTACAGATTACTTAGATTTTAACATTAAGGCTCTGTTATCATTCACAGTCATTTTACCTGCGCAACAATTAAGAGACTTGAATGTGTATATTGTAACTGAAGCGGAGATAACAAGAATCAATGATGAATATTTTATCCTATTTGAGACTGCATATAGACTTAGCAAAATTAATATGATGTAATGTTTAAGAAAAATTATAATAATTTATCGACGTAACACAAAAAAACCAACAAGGCGATGGTAATCAAATTATTGTCGTATCAATCTACATCCTATCCACCTGCTTATTGAAAATGGATACTAAAAAAAGTGAGTATTTATTGAATTTCTATGAAAAACATGTGAATGAATCCAATTGAAAATATATTGAAACAAATAAGGTAATCGATTACAATGAAAATAAATAGTAAGGTGTACTTGGTGTGACACAAAAACAGTGTTATATATATATATATATATGATTAGAAAGTTCCTAATTGAACAACAAATTGTATACATAAGTCATATGAGCTACTATGTAGGGAACAAAGGGCTAAGCATAAAAAACACCAGTCAGTCAGCTACAACGTAGGACCACATAGAAAACACTATTTTTATTTATTTTTAAAAATTAAATTTTTTCTTAATGTAGTAAGCATTTTTCACTCTATCATTAAATGGTCACTATTTTATACTTAATTTTTAATCTAATTTCTCTATTAAAGAGTTCAACACTCAAGTATCGGTTGCTGATTTGTAAATTTTAATATTGATTCAATCAATTTGACTTGTGAACAATAGTTGCAGTAGTATGTTTAGTTCCTCGCGATCATCAAAATTGAAGTAGTGAAGTGTCTGTATATATCATCATTACTTCATTAATTCTAGAAAGTATTTAGTTCTTAATTGCCTGACAGTGCTTTGGTGTACATATGTATATTTACTAAGTAAAGAAGGATTGTTGTGACGCCTGACCACCTTTGGTGGATATTTATACAAGTTACGGAAAATTTTTACATAACCAGTCAATTTATACGCCTTTTTGGATCACAACTTTTTTCTTGCTGAGTGTAACAAAATGAAATTTTAAGAATAAAATAGATTTTAAAATGCTATTATATATTGATCAAGTAACTTCAAGGTGAGATCAACTAGCTGCTGAAGAGATTCTAGATCGTTAGCTTAGTTTGTAGTAATCGTCACTACATACAAAGCACTAACTACATTACCATCTGAATATACCTCCATCATCTTGTCGGCGATAAACATCCGAGGAGATACTAAAAATTCGCTTTACTTTATACAACAGACTTTATGGAGACATTTGCTGGAGAACTTCATCTAATTTTTATGACTTCACTAATTGAAGTAACTGTGACCGTTTTATATCGTACAGATCACAAGCGGTCAGGAGCTGTTGTAGACCTTTCTCATCAGTGATTCGGTTTACTTTAGTATCCAATGAAAAATGTGAAACATTTTAATTCTTTAGTGTAAATGATGAAAAAATTGGAATGTTTTATGGCACATAAATGATGTTGTATAACGTTTTTGTAAACATTTATCACGAACTAGAAAAAAACATCAATCAAGGTGTTAATAATTTTGATTAAATCATACATTTTTTAAAAGATATATTTAGAATTGTAATTTGATGTAATTACACATATGATATTGTGATACCTTAAAAATTTGTCCTTCATATATTTAAAGATAATTTTCACTTGAAAATCTGTAGTTGAAAAACCAATAATAAAACACTATAGAGTATTGGAGAATTGTTTGATTTAAATTTACACAGTCCTGATGTATTGGATGATCGATCTACTACTACTACTACTACTACTACTACTCTAGAGATCATCATTGTAGTCAACATTACATATTAACTATTTAGAATTCATTTTATTAACCATGTTACATTCTAGAGTTATGTAGAACTTCGTTTACAAACAATTTGGTGCATTAAACTCAATCAATTATAAACAAAAGTTAGTAACCATTACACAAATATGCATACATATATATCTGGTAATGAAGAAAATCATAAAGGATTTGTATAAGAATATAAAATTACAAAGTATAACAACACATTGATGTTTTAAAATAAGGATATTCTATTAAATACTGGTAAATTAGATGTGAACAGCTGCAGCAATAATTTACGAAATAAAAACTCGTTATAAAATTTACATTAAATATTGTTTTTATGCATAATAATGTATTTATTAGTTGCTAGATGGTAAATAATATTAAACTTATTAATTTACTTAGTATTGTTTGTTTGAATCTTCCCATTGATGCCTAGGACTGCAACTGGTCAGTCTCTAATTGGCATATGTGCATACTGTGCGTATTGCCTCGATATAGCCTAAATTCACAAGCATGGTAAGCAATACGCACAGTATGCACATATGCCAATTAGAGACTGACCAGTTGCAGTCCTAAAAACATCAATGGGAAGATCCAAACAAACAATACTAAGTGAATTTAAACTTCATCCCATTGCACAAGCAAGTGGCTATCAGGACTCAGTGGCCGAGTGGATAACGCGATGGCGTTTGAAGCGAAAGATATTAGGTTCGAGTCACAGAGTGAAAATCAACTCTGAGATGCAGGTACATCCAGCTGACGAGTCCCAAATAGGACGAAACGCGCGTCCTGGATTCCACTGCTAGCCACTATCCATCTTTGTTAAACTTATTAGTTTTTAGTGCTGAAAAAAGTTGTATTGTCATCATACTAAGTAATTTCTTATTATGATGGATCGTATTCATTTACTGACCAACGTTTGAAACCAGTCAGATAGTGTACGAAGCTAGTGATTTATGAATGTTGACCGAATCAACAAAGAATCCATATGAAAACGGAAGTCAAAGACAGAATATGAGTCTCTCTTTAATTTCATAAGTAAATAATGCTAATAAGTATGAATAGGTACGTGAATTTAGCTTCATATCGAACAATTAAACTGAAATAACATCATATAAAGACTTTCGTCTAAATTAGAGCGAATAGTTTCACAGTATTTGGGTGCCGACTTGATGTGAGATATTAAATAAGAGGAATATATTTTTAAAATCTCAGCGAATATTTTCTTGAAAAATCTTGGACCAGATTGCCAGGCGAAACGTTGGATTTACTTCAAATTCATTCGCTGAGGTTTTACAAATACATTCCTCCTATTTAATGAAATAACATCAGAAGTAATTCTAGGTTACATGCTGATTGGATGTTTAGCTAAGAGATGAACAATCAAAACAGCATATAACCGTACTCCGTTGACCTTAAATTTACTTGAAAGTAACTTAGTACAGGTTTGTGTTTCGGATAAAGGTTTTTGTGTAAGGGCCGACGATATTACGTGAATTTCTAGATCAAAGCAGGTAGAGGATGGTTTAAACCAATAATTTAGTGGTAGGAAGTTATGTGTTTAAATTACCAGGCTACTGCTCTACTTCCTTATTGACCCAGAACATTAGGTAACTATGGATGATTAAAATAGTGTTTAGTAAGAAGAATAGATCAAATAACATACAGAAGCACTAGGAAGCAACAAAATACAAAACTGGCTGACATTTGCCTGAAGTTATAAATAGACTACACAGCTTGCATGACAGAATAAAGCACAAAAACAAATCCTTACTCGGGTAGACGAGGTGGATTCCAACAATGAGTACTTTGATTAACATGAGACGAATTTCCATTACTCATAGCGGTTGAATTAGTAGGACATAAGTTACCAGCTGGACCAGTGAATAGATCGCGTAGGGATGAATACTATATAAAAAAGAGTGAGAAATTAAACAAGATTGGCAGGAAAATGTCTACAGTTCAACAGTGAAATGAGGAAAGAAAATCAAACCACGGTAGCTATAATGAGCTTTAACGCTAAAATAATGGAAAATTAATTGTGCTTCTCATTTCGATAAGTAAATTACATTTAAAACTAGATACTGTTGTTCTTTCTGTCTCTCTCTAACATATACACCAAAACAACGTCACTGATCAATAAATCGTAAACAATGTCAAAATAATTGCTTTTCAAAGTATATATATTAGATTAATGAGCTGACGTGTGAGCAAAAAAAACAATTAGAATTGGATTGAAAATCAGTGAACAGAACAATGTATATGTGCGCACACAGCACAGAAGAAAAATGCAGACACAAAACCGGACGGTAAAACCTCCCAAAGATAAATATTATAAACAACAAAAGCAAACTACACATATAAGTATTGTGTGTATATGTTGTTATCGTTGTTTTTATCACTATTATTATTATTTTCCTTATAGCCGTTTCGAATTTCATACTGCGAATTCAATCAAACTGTAAAGGCATTCGTCGAAAAAAGTAAAATCAATATTACAACTTACACTGCTTTCTTTGCTTATTTTACTATTTAGCCACGTTGCTTACATGTGCCCTTAGACACATAGACGAGAGTGTATATTTTACAAGCTAACAAAATTATAGAATGCAATTAATGAAGAACCTATAACGAGAGATAGAAAGTGTGAGACAGTGTAAATACAAGAAAAGATGAATAGCTGATCAATGAAATCTGTAAAACGTGTAAAAGAGAAAAGAACATAATTGTTCGGAAATGGAAAGTAGGCACAAATATGAAATAATATACAACATGAAAATAAGAATAACAAGAGAAAAAAGAAACCTAGCTAAACAACAGTTGCCAGATTTACAAACAGGGAGCATGTACATACACTCAGACACATGTACATATGATTTATATGATAAAAAAGGGCATGTATAATTGGAATCTAAAAATCTTTCCCAAAAATCATCAGCTTTTAGATCAAAGTGTTGTGAGATGATTGTTAGATTGGACGTTGATTATATTTATTAATAAAAATATCAGATGAGAAAGGAATGTATGTTGTATTCATTTAATTTCATTATATTACAAATATCCCTTGGATATGTTCTAAAGTATATATATATATATATATATATATATATATATATATATATATATATATATATATGGGTGTAAAGTTTATACGATTTAGTCTTATCTAGATGAATAGTGTAAACCAGAAAGCAATGAACATTTATTTGTGCCCATGACCCCGCAAAAAATCGAACTCAAAACGTTTAAGTATTGTGGTGAACATGATAAATACGAAATTAACAGTTGATAATGGCAAATTAAATTTGTGATTTAGTGTGATTTGTAACTAGCATCATTAGTGATGCCTGTCTATGTCCCAGAAGACTTCCTTCTCTTTAGGCCCCCGAATACCCTGGTGCGGCCGAGACTGAGGAGAGTCAGCTTTCCCTCTCGAAATGCTGTCAAATAGACACGTGCATACAACTACTGCCAGGGAAGTCCTACTCACGGCCTTTTCGCGGTGGGTGTGTTGTTTACAAAATCGAGAGGACGGAAAGCGAATATCCGGCGCTTTAACCGGGCCGGTGGATACAGTGAGTCCACCTAGTTAAGTTGGAAAACCCTGATTCCAAACCAATGATGCGCTTGGGTTCCAGTATCCTGGGGGAACAAATGGCGTATGAACTAATTGTTGGTCACCAGCTACCATGAGACTGCATCTCCTTACGTTGCTCCACTGTCTTGTGGATCAGACCTTTATGTCAAAGGCTCAGGGTGTGACCCCGTAGGAAAACCATCTGCTTCGGTTTGGGCACCCGGGCAGTATCGCAGCTCTCACATAACTGTGTGGCGCATATATATCTAATGCCCCCTTGTACCAATATTTATGTGTTCAAATAAATAAATAAATAAATAAAAGCTTCTCTTTAGAAATATTACAAACAGTGCAGGATTAAAGATGTCGGTAGTAGATTTGAAGACTAAAGTACTTACGATGAACTACGCAATGATATATGTATTTCATTGAAATGAGATAAAGAATATTGAACTTCAAAAACAATGAAAATAATCACTATAATGAAATCTTTAAGAAACATTGAAGCGCAGGAAAAATATATTGGACAATTATGTTATTCAAGAAAGTGAAAATAATTGACTAAATGTTATGATGAAAATGACGAATCAGTTGATGGACGAAAGAAAAATAAAAACACAATATAGGAATAAACACTTATATTACATCATATTATTTGGGTATTAATAATGATATTTGGTCAGTTAGCTGATAACAACGAATAAAGTGTATCAATCAACAGTAGATTGAATGCATGGATCGTTGATAAAACAAAAACAACTGGTTAACATTTGAATTCATGTTAATCAACAATTATTCAATCCGTTCACTTTTTGTCAATATACTTACAACGATTAAAAATAGTAAACACTGAATTTATTTGGATATCAGTAGTTAACTCAAGTTATTAAATATATAACAGAGATAGTAGAAATTTGAACGATAGCTATTATACAATGAAACAATATATGGACATATGTTTTTAGGCATTTAGTACACAAGTCAAACCACAGCGCGTTACCCATTGAAATACTGAGTCCAGATAGTCAATTCTATTTTAACTTATCAAATAGAGTTGGAATTAGTAGAAAAATTTTCAAACAGAAGCCATAATCATCTCAGTAAAATGCAAATTTTACATAGTTTTTAGTGCTGGAATTATGGTAAACTTAAATAACTAATATGTAAATATATGGGAAGAAATACTTGCAAATACTGAACATACAAAACTGAATTCATTTTCTAACAAAATCACTCAATATATTTGGTAATCATAATTAACTAGGATCAAATGGTTAGGGATCGATCAAGAAATCAAGACACTTTTATTGGCAAAAATTTGGGAGTAGTTTTAAACTGAAGGTTAACGAATTATATATTATCAAACAAAAAAATAGTTTAAGGCGAGAAAACCCATACATACATACATACACAGATAAATCGATTTCGGATGATATCGTTGCCTATTTGAGTCTTTATGAAGATTCTATGGTTTCAAAGACTTCTGATCCCGGCACCATTTGATGACGATTTGTATTTATCACGATGATTTTATGCTGAGCAATCGGAAAATAAATATCATTCTGGACCGATGTAAGTTAATTAAATAATGAAAACCAGAAATAAACTGCTCCATTCTGGTTCAGGATTTCTCATTAAAACATATCAATTCCGGAGTTGATCAAGCCAAACATCTTCAGGTTTGAAGACAAACAAACCATCTTAAGATCATTACATTTGCATCGAATATTCTGTATTTCAACATTCATTTAATCAATTTCTATTGTTTAGAAATAATTTAACCAGTTGTATGAGATGAAAGAACGAAATTAAGAGAACAACGGAACAGCAATTAAACCAAGCAAAATATGAACACAATTTTCACACTAATTGTACACAGTTAAATGAGCGTCTAAAAGAAAAACTATGAGAATAATTAAAGCGGTCAAACTGATATAAATCACACACACACAAACCAACTACCGCCACCAACACAGAGCAGTAGAACAGAACCATATTTGCCTTGAACCAGAACACAATGAAATTGGATTTGTTATTCGTACATAAATTTGTACAGGAAAATATTAAACACAAATCATAAAATACGAACACCCAAACTAGATCAGTGTTGATGAGATTATATGAATGCATATATAATAACAGCAGTTTGTTAGCTAACATTGTTGACAAGACGTAGAAAAAACAGCTTACCTTGACAAAGTCATCATATGATATTAGTATGTACATTTTTAAAGCACCTTTCAGTGAAGATAAACAAATTGAAGATGACACAAGATATATATATATATATATATATATATATATATATACATGTGTGCATTAAGAAAGAGTAGAAAACTTGACAAAACAGAGCAGTTCAAGTTTAAGACAAATAATACTAGGGAAAATAAATCATTGCCAATAAATTTAAAGCAATTAATCCCTTTTATAAATTTCGATAAACTTTGTCTCTGCATTATGAAATAAAATTACAATAAGAGGCTACATGTTTATGTGCAATGATAGAAAAAACAAAGACAACTTTGATGAAGTAATAATGTCGTAAAGAGAAAATTGATTGTTTAAAAACAGAAAGAAACAATATTGTGTGTGTATGTGGACATGTGAGTGAGACTAATTGACTTACGGAGAAAATAATTACAAATGTTAGTCGATGCAATTATCGAAAATAAAAACAACCCGATTTTCCTAATCATTATAATAACATTGAATACAAAGCGCTTATTGTATCCAAATTACTAAGGAAGATAACATTTTGGTGCTTAAATTAGTTTCAGTGTGGATAAAAACACACCATGAGGCAGTTACATCCTGTTGACAAATCTTAAACAAAATGAAATGAGGGTATCCGTGAACTTAACATATATGGTTATACAACTTACTTATCCCAATAATCATTAGATTCAGGACTTTGGATGAAGCTCTACATATTTATATACACACATAGTAGGTTGTAAATAGCTTTAGTGTATCATTTTTTTCAGATTCATCCGAGATTTTTAATTTATTGTTTAATGTTATAAGTGGGCAAGGGTATTGAACTGAAGGAATCACCAATAACTGTTTAAATTTTCATGAACCTTAAAGATTATTAATGAAGTTCTAAGCCAGAAGAAGCACCATCACAAGGAATGGATCACTGTTGATACACTGAATAAGATTCAAGAAAAGATGGACAAGAAGGCAGCAATCAATATCAGCCGAACAAGAGCAGAAAAAGCCAAGGCACAAGCTGAATACACAGAAGCAAACAAGCAAGTGAAGGGGAGAATCGGGGCCGACAAACGAAAATATGTAGAAGATTTAGCAATGATGGCGGAAAAAGTTGCAAGAAAAGGAAACATGAGACAATTGTGTGATAGAACAAGGGGACTCTCTGGAAATTACCGTGAACCAGAACGACCAGTGAAAAGCAAGGAAGGCAAGGTAATCACCAACATTGAAGAACAGCAAAACAGGTGGACAGAACACTTCAAAGAACTCTTGAATCGACCACCCCCGTTGAACACACCCAATATCGAAGCAACACCCACAGACCTCCCAATCAATGTTGGCCTGCCAACAACTGAAGAGGTCAGCATGGCCGCCAGACAAATTAAGAGCGACAAAGCAGCAGAACCAGACAACATTCCAACAGAAGCACTGAAAGCAGCAATTGCAAAGATACTCCACATTCTCTTCAGTAAGATTTGGGATGAAGAACAAGTACCAACAGACCGGAAAGGAGGATACCTGATCATAATACCAAAGAAAGGCGACCTCAGCAAGTGTAAGAACCACAGAGTCAGTCGGTCAGTCAGTCAGCTACAACGTAGGATCAGGCACATTTATGCATCGGTCCAAGTTGCCATACCTCGTTAGCACAACAAGATGAACACCGGATTCACAGAAATAGTTAATTTAGTGGTGGTAGTATATAAAAGATAGGTTGTATATAAGGATATAGTATCGGAAGGAAGAACGTTATGAAGCAATTTTAATCTTAAGGTTTAAGGGAAGATAAAGAGTGTATACACCTACGCCATTGTGATCGATCCTGAGCCATGTCACCTAGAGTCTCCAACCATTGGTTACGATAATCACGCGGACCCAGAGGCATCACTTTTCTCTCGATACCAAGAAACGTCTTCAACAGGGTGTTGTTAAACAGAATAAAGGACTCTATAGACGCTCAACTTTGAGATCAATAGGCTGAATTCCGTAAGTATAGATAGTGTACCAACCAAATCGCAACACCATGGATCATTGTGGAACAATCAATTGAATGGAGATTATTAGAAAGACAAACTCCTGATGGGTTAGCTCATGTAATTAGTGCGAGAGTCATTCGAATATGGTGATGGTCATTTTTTTTACCAATCACAGCTGATAGACGATTTCAGAAGCTGCTATAAGATAAATCCATGTAATCACTGCGTAAACACTTGTATTCCTTTCTCTTAATCTTTGTACATTTTGTTTTGGTATCTTGTATCTGGTTTATTTCAATTGTTGATTGCGTTGAGTCAAATCCAGTAATCACTATTTGAAGAGTGCGTCAGGGAAGGACGAAATAGAGACTAAATGAGACTAAATCTCAAATATATAATGGATCTTATTTTCAGAGTTATATTGTCATACATATTTATTAGATTCAAAATATATTTTAATAGTTGAGCTTCAATTAACTCATGATCTCAACTATTAAAATTACTATAATATCTACAATATTATTGGTTTATTCGGTGAGTTGTATGTTGGCTAGATATTTTGTGATTAAGATAAGAAACATTTAAAAAAATATATAAACTGGTAAGAAAATCCATCACACATGAGTCACCAAATAGATTATACTTATTTATTATCAAAAGTGATTGGTTCATTCTAAACTTCCTTCGTTTTTTTTAGTTTATAAGAAAGGTCATTCAAATTTAGGTGTAGGTCAAGGAGGCAATCGACCACAAAAAAACTATTGATCAAAAATATAGTTACTATTTGAATTTTTATAGAGTTGAGATCATGAGTCAATTGAAGCTAGACTACCATGGAAAACCTGGAAGCACTGGACGGCCGTTTCGTCCTATTATGGGACTCCTCAGCAGTGCGCGTCCACGAACCCACTCTCGCGGGACTCGAACCCAGGACCTACCAGTTTCGAGCCGAAGCTCTTAACCGATAGACCACTGAGCTGGCATCCAACGGTGCTTCCAGGTTTTCCATGGTAGTCTAGCTTCAATTGACTCATGATCTCAACTCTATAAAAATACTAAAATCTCCACAAAACCCCTTCTGATACTATTTGAATTCTTTAAAAATTGACAGTAATTAAAATTGTTACTAAGTACGTAAGTAATCGGAGGAGAGAGGGAGAGGTGTGGTCAAAATTTAATTATCCTACTAATCAACTAAAAACGGAAAAGTAGATTATTTTAGTCCCATAATAGGACGAAACGGACGTCCAGTGCTTCCAGGTTTTCGATGGTGGTCTAGCTTCAATTGACTCATGATCTCAACTCTATGAAATTACTAAAATCTCCACCAAACACCTTCTGATAATGATCATGTGCTCACTAGTGACTGGCTCCATGAGGCATTTCCTGGAGTTCTAGTGAAAAGCAGTAACCAGTGGAGTTCAAACTACGTCAGTTGTGAGATATTAACTCACTGAAGACTATTGGTGAACGGTTGCTCAACTTCGTGGATCAGTTGAAGTTAGACATTAACACCGTTGGATACCGGCTTAGTGATCTATCGGTTAAGTGCTCTTGCGCGAAACTGGTAGGTCCTGGGTTTAAATCTCGCGAGTGCGGGATCGTGGATGTGCACTGCTGAGGAGTCCCATTATAGGACGAAACGGTCGTCTAGTGCTTCCAGGTTTTCGATGGTGGTCTAGCTTCAATTGACTCATGATCTTAACACTATAAGATCATTTTACTATTGGAAAAGTAGAACAAATCTTCAATAAAATTCTTTTTTTGCATTTTAATACTAAACAAAATAAATTAGTCCTGATGTAACAGTATGGAATTCATTCATGTAATTATTTATTTACATTTTTGGCAAATATTCTTATGTAGTTGTAAAATTATTGTATCAAACGAACAATATCAGACATTAGCCGGTTTAATTAAGAAACAACAGATTGACCTTATTTATATTTTATTTACGATACTTATTTACGCGCAAATACAAAGAATTGGAGTAACCTATTATCATTATTAATGCTAATACTATTAAAACTGTGTTACTTCCAAAAAAAGTAATTCAATTATTTATTTATTTCAGTATAAAAACTGTATGGGCATTATTAATACTAAATGGAGGAAAAACTAGGTGAATTCAAGAAAGGCAGCAGAAAAATCGTTTTATCCTTAGGTGAATAGAATTTAAAGCAAGCACCTATGAGAGTAGATAGACTCTCATTAAATAATGAGTTAAATAGGACAAATTAATGAAGATGAATAAATTAAACTTGGAATTCATTCATACAAAAAACTAGTTTGATTAACATAAATTGCTTTAAGATGATTCAACGTTCTAGTAGAAAACCCATGATACATTTGAGTTGACTAAATCACTACGACGAATATGGATAAAACTAGAAAAAAAAAAGGAAATTGTATGAGACGATGAAATAATAGTTTAATGAATAAAGCACTTGGTTTTCAACCAATGAGTCACAAGTTCAAATTCCACTCCACATACATGAATTCGGAAATTTGAGTTGGTAATATTAGCCCTTATGTAAAAACACTATGATTGGTCTAATTAAACATTTATTACTGAAATATTCAAAACGACATCAGTGTAATTCAACTTCTGTGCATAAGTTGGTTTATCGGTTTGTGAGTCACATTCTCTAATAATGGATAACAATCATGACTGGATACAAAAAACCAATATAAATATCTTATGTTTGGACACCAGACTCAAATAACTTCAAGACGAATTCGTAAGATGAAATTATATCTGCTGGTAATAGAAATTCGTGATTCAGATAGATGATTTTGGTGTTGTCTTTTTTCGGAGCAAATTACAAAAAAGATCACTAAAACCAACTGATACACACATGATCTTAGCTTAGAGAGCCGAGAAGCGATATAGCACTTGTAAAATAGCTGGGAAGTTCAATTCCATATGAAAGAATTTGTGAATAATGACAGTGGAAACTCACCAATTAAACCATCTAGCATAAGAGGACGAAAAACATGAAATATCAACAAGTTTTAAGTAATCAGAAACTGCAAATAGTTTGCACAATACTATGTCACTCACAGAAAAGAGATGAACGATTCAATAACAAAACAGCGTTTATGAAATCCTTTGTTTTGAGAGCAAAATAATGGTGTTTACATTTGATTATACAAAATGTTTTATGTATAATTCGTGTCCTGAATGTTGCATCGAATGGATAAGAAAGCTGTAATTAATTTGTTCGAACAACCATCATGTAAGAAAGACTATTTAAAAAAAGCATTTTTAGGGCTTCAGACATTAAAAGTAACTCCTTTATTAAAAAGAGGCTTATGTATTCGGCTCCGATGACAAGTGATTGAATACTAATAACGAACATATGAAGCGTATTCTTCATCAGGATAAAAATAAATAAAACATATGAAAAGGATAATACACCTTGAAATTTAAAGAAAAAATTAAGTACAACAAAGGAAAAATCTTACAGCTTGTTTGATTTCATTGACTTGGCGAACGAGATCATGTGGAGCATTCATAGGATTCTCTTTGTCTGAGGCATCCCAGTCATCAGATGTTTTGCTAGTCCTTTGTTGACTATAATCTATTTTTTTTGGACGATTGTTACTAGGAATGACTTGGGATAGTTGTTGTCGTGTTTGCCAGTCAAGAAATTCTTGAGAAACAGGTGATGAGTGTGGATAAGACGATGAACGAGCTATTCGATTTAAACGTCTATTCATATTAGATATCATTGACCATCTAGAGATGTCTGAGTGATTCGCACGATTTTTTTGACTGCTATGAGAAGGTCTAATAGGATTGAACAATGTTGGCATTCGTTGACCGGCAGAGCCAAATTGACATTCGGATTCAAACTGAAAGATGAAAAAGTAGTTAGAAAACAAGGTATAATTGAACTAGGTCCACTATCAATACAACTAAACTTAAAAAATCTCTAAACAGCAGCACCCACAGATACTTGCCTACTTTATATTACCATTCTGATGCTAATAAATAAACTTTGTGCTCTACCACTTCACTTTTCCAGGTTGATGAGGATATCAGTATTGATGCCGTTTCTTGTTCCTAGACGGTACTGGGAACCAGAAAGTATCTACTGCTCCAATATTTTCAGTAACATCACTTGAATCCATCCTGTCAATGGAGAACCACCTTTCTTGTTTCTCTGATTTTTTTCAAACATTCTGTCAATCATACCTCATCAAATTCATTGGCGAATGTAACCAGTGTCGGTGATTTAAAGCTTAAAAGGTGTCGCCTCTGATTATCTAGAACGCAGATTTGAATATTCCATCTTTGTTATATTGGACAACAGACTTTACCAGGCAAGATTCCATGGTTGAGTGAAATAAATTTATTTGATGTTTCCCAAAGTTTCATACAAGACTTAAATGTTGTTATTGATTTAATTTTATATAACCGTGAGGAAATAGTATAGTTTATCTTTTAATTATCTGGAGAACCAACAGCAATCTATTGTAATCTCAAAGGTGAAGATATCTCGTTAAGTTCTAAAGCAGAACATGGACTTTTAGGTTGAATTAAAGTTGACAGTTAATTATACATTACTCGGCTGAATGGGATGATAAGAACCACTGACCTACGCTCCCAACGATCATATCTCATACGAAATAAAAGACAGATAACCCCGAATGTTTTCTGGCTAATTTCGAAAATCGAGGCGCTTAGATGTATTAATGGTAGCGTGTGACTATAACGCCCAAATAAGAAGGATGAGTTAAGCAAAAACACAATTAGGTGGGGCGTTTTTTGTTTTACATCAAACTCACCAAACTTCAGAATGTTACTTGACGTGTCCAACTAATACTTTAAATCTGACTGGAAATCCCTTCAATAATTTTACAATGCACTGAACGAGCATCAGTTGCGTATAACGAACGTAGAGCCGGGGGAAATGTATATCAGCCCAAGTTACCATATCAAATCAGTAAAGAGAGATCAAGTTAACATGATGAATAGTGAAGGGATCGAAATAATAGCAGCAAAGTAATAAAACAATAAAATACAAAAGAGGAAGAATTTTAAAAAATATAAATTTACCTTAGATTTTGTTTCACTATAACGTGTTTGTAAACTAGTTATTGCTTCAGATATTTCCATCTGAAGATTGCGATTTACTGCAGGAAAGTTGAATGATCTTTCCAACCGATTAGTTGCCATGATGATTGTATCTAGATGAGACCAACAGAGAGCACATGAATTAATGTAAGAAGAAAAAAAGTGTATCTGAGATTTTTTAAATAAAAATAAATAATAATATGAATTGTCAGTAAAAAATATTAGGTTGTATAGAAAGTGGGAGATTCGGTATCTAGATACAAATATCTATGCAATGTTGCGAATCAGATTTGTTAAATCGACTACTTGATTAAATGTCACTCATTTATCGAGTGGAAATTTACGAAGTGGGTCGCACTCTAAGTAGAAGAGCTAATTATGCTACCAAGCTTCGTGAACTGAAGTAAGAACGTGAGACTTAACAGTTACAAGTCGAACGCCTTGACCATTGAGCCAGTACACTAAAAAAGCCATACATGTCCCAACAATCACACAAAACGAATTTTGGTAGAAAAAGGAATGAATGAATATCACATTTCATCACACACATTGCGCATTCAAGTTGGCATCATTAGAACAGAAGAAAACATCCATCTTGGATTGCTTTTTGTTGGCTATCACCAAATATAATCAAGATTAACAAAAGATTTAAATAACAAATTAATTCTACAATATTCGACATGGACAGTCTTTGTATCCTTTCAGAAACAGTTATCATCTCTAAACGATTATGTTGCATACATTGATGTGCTCAGAAGTGTATATTATGTATACTTGACAATAATCCAATTGTACACACTTATCAAAATGAACTATAAATAGACGATGACTGCATTAGTTATTTTTCTCTAATTGCTTTGTATGTTATCGTATTATAATTTTCAATGTATCTACTATATGTTTAAATTCACAGGTAAATTACACATTTACACCAATAAGGACAATTTGCTGTGATATTTTTAGATAGGTATTAAGTAGTTTGATAGGATTACAATGTGATATAAGATAATTCTTGTTAACTTTTGTTGACAAAAAACTTTAGTTTTAAAATTGAAGATGAACAGTACAATGATAAGGAGGAAAAAAGGGGCTGCTCGATGACCTGTAAGCAGCTTAGAAGTCATACTACTCTTTTCTTTCCATATTGATGCAAACACTACCACATGTTATGAACCTTTTACTTCACTCCACCTAGTTCAGTGAGAGTAAGCCAGGTAGATATTATTAACAACCGAAAAATAAGTACGTAAACCTGTACTTGAAAAAATGAGTTACCTGTTTATTAAAAAACAAACACAGAAAATACTAGACGGAGACGAAAATTTAAATGAAATCTAATTCCTGTGTATAGATTCTCGTGCTCGGCTTCAAGGTACCTTATTTGTGTAAGGGCTAATAATAGTACCCAACTACCTACTGGTTGAAAGCTGCCGAGTGAAATTAGACAACTTAAGGTAACACAAACTAATAAAATAAACAGTTATTTTAAATCCTAAGTATTACCGATCCAGGCAATTTAATTGGAAGAAAATCAACTTTAATGACAAATTTATGTACTAATTCCAACTGATATCACATTACAATACACAACTTTTACGGTGTTAAGCAAATAAACGCAGTAGGTGATAGAGAAATTTCTATTTTCATTACTAATACAGTGATTAGCAGTTATTGTTGATATTAGACAAATATTTATATTGTTACACTAAATCCATACGATACTTATTTGTTAAACTGTTATTTCATATAAATCGACAATTTCACTTTTTAATTAAAAAATAATTTGAAGTGATTAGTCCCTTTATAAGCAAATATGAATAGTGGCTCGCACATATGCCAATAAGAGACTGACTAGTTGCAGTCCTAAACATCAATGGGAAGATTCAAACGAACAATATTAAATGAATTTAATTAGTCCCTTTGATAAATTTCGATAGTGTAATAAGAAGATGAAGATTATCAGAATTATGTGATATATTAGCGCAATACATTTCGAACAATTTAATTACACATATACTTGTTGAGAACATTTACATATAAAAATAAAATGTCAACTAGACTGGAAGTGAGGGAGGGTAAGAGGAGACAAGGATAATAATAATAGTGTGAAAACAATTTGGGAAAATGATAATTTTAATGAATCATGATCTTCATCATACAGGCTTATAAAATATCATACAGTATACTGAATTCAGAGATGAACAGGGCCTACTATATGTATCACTTAAAACTTATTCTAAAATTTGACAACCATTGGCATTGAAAACAGTATTGAGACGGAAAAAACCATGTTTCATTGATACAAAGCAGTCATAATATGATCGTGGATAACAGATGATGTTTATTCACATTATTCAATAAACAACCAATCAGCTAAACAGTAATGACCAACATATGATCTGGATCAAACTAATAAATTAATCAATATATTTTTCTTTCACATCAGTAACATTGTAGGTTAATACAATATAGATGAGTTTCCTCATTGTCCACATTTCAAGTGTTTTATTTTTGCTTTGTTTGAAAGTTCAACTTTAAAGGCATGTAAATTATCAATTAAAAATCAAATAATCTACATGCATAAGTTAAAATAAGTGTGTATTTCTTGATGTGATAGATATGTTAAGAGAATATTTAAACCAAAATTTCAAAGCAATAAAGATGTTCAAAATAAAATAGAACTAAAAACACAAGTTATCAAACAATGATGATTTACAGTGATTCGCTATAAACAAAAGTAGGAAAACAAGTGATATCAGTTGAAAAAAACATTCTAAGCGAAAGATAAAGTGCAAAACAACATACCAATTAATTGAGGCCAAATATACGCCAATTGTGCTTCATCTGGACCATCACCATGTAAACATCTGGCTAGTAATTGTGAACAACTTTCAGGGCAGACATTATCAAGTGACTGAGCCTCGCATATAGCACAAAATTTATAACGTGTAATGCCCAAAATACATTGAGACTGAGCAACAACCTGATGAAGGGAGACAATTAACGAAGACAATAAACGTGTATTTGTTTACAAATCATTAAACCAAAAATATGATGTAGTTTGGGAAAAATTTTGTCTTGTCAGTGAAAGTACTTAACACTGGGATTTTTCTCCCTGGCAGACTGCTTCCTTGGAATTGTTTACAAAACAGTTGCGAATTTTATTTGTAACTAGCCAAGTATTTTTGTGCCGGTCAAATGCAATAACTCCGTGAAAACTGCACCAAAATATACAATTTTAAAAATTACTCATCTTTGAATTGCAATAAATCGATGATAAGTTAACATAGATGGTCTGATTAGGGTTTTCTTTGGTCGTTTTTACTTAATAACGCTTATTATCCAGATTGGTCATTTGATGATAAAAATTGTAAACTGAGAACTCATTAAAGAGTTACTCGATAGCAAACATATACAACCATCTATCATTGAATAATAAATTCGAACGAAAGTTGGCTTTGGACAGCTGAGTGATATAGAAGGTTGGATACATTAAATACGATTTAGATATAAACTACCGTATAATAACGTTCTTAGTACAATCGGTTCAGCCGGAGATAAATTAATGGTTATTTGAAGGACGTATATATCATCGAGATATATTTCCTATTTAGAACTTTATTATTAATTTTCGAAACATGTTCTTTGATGCCTACACTTTTGCACGATCAATGATACTATTGTAGTGAACGAGAACACTAGTGAGGACAATCGAATGTATTTACATACAAAATTACAGAACATCTCAGTAAAATCCGAGAATCATACAGTGAATACTTTATTTGCAAAATGTCAATCAGTCGCCTAACACTTCATTGTTCTTTCGTTTCCACATCAATCATTCTCTGTTCTCGTTCTCTTTTCTTTGATCTTCTTAACCTTCAGCCTCCAGGCATTTCACTTTGGATTGACGATACATACTACTTATATCTGTCGGCATCAGTAGCACAGACTACACTACTATTATTTAGACTCACTTGTTATTCATATTATTAATTTCATCTTGATGTGTTGTGGTATGACAACTAGAGCTGATGAATATATATATATATATATATATATATATATATATATATATATATATATATATACCGTTTTTGAAGTGAACAGACCAACCAAACATTGATAATATTATTCACAAAATAATTATTTATACACTCTAAGACATATTAGAAAGTATATGCCTGAATGGAAAGTAGAAAGAGTTGGATTTAATTCATTTTATGTTACATATAACAGAAATAACTTAAGGGTACAATTTTGGTAAACAATTTAAAGTATCATGGTTTTTTCGGCAAAAGCAACAAGTAACGTATACTACATTAACATTTTGTTAACGATTAGCATTTAAATTAATAAGAGTGATTTAATGATCAGGCTGTAATTAAATTTGTGAATTAGCAGTTTACAATGATATTTGTTTTTCTCTTATTCAATTGGAAATATCAATATTTTTGTTGAATCTAACCATCTTTGCAATGTAGTATATGAACATGAAGATCCGTAGATCAGATTACCTTAGCAAAGTTGACAACCCGTCTTTTCTAGCACAACAAAATCTATCAGTATCTTAACTGGCACCAACAGTTGTAGAGTGAGAATTTTATTATTGTTTACTGTAAAACCAATCGGTTTTTAAACTAAGATTAACACTAAAAAACTTTTAATAATAATAATAATAATAATAAACTTTCAAATAGACATTTCAGAAATTCATATCGTATTGAGAGTGAAAATTGTTTATCACGTTAACTTTACAGTCATTATTGTACCATGTGATTGTAAAGATTAACAGAAAGATACTAAGAAAGATCTTGTTTTCTTTAGACATCCTAGTGATGACCAGTGAAGAAATTATACATACATGTATGTAATGCAGTATTTGAAGTATGAAGTCTTCCAAATAAATGTTGTTTCCAAAAGTTTTCTTATTTCCCAGACAGTCTCTCAGATGGAATTCATGAACTATCATCGAACAAAAAAGTAAGCAAATGTTTATGTTACATCAAATAAACAAAGAAAAAAACAAATACCTGATCGACCAGATGATGTAATAATTTGCTGGTAACGGATAAAACATTGACCAACATACGAGCAGGTGGATAAGCTTCCATCATTCGAGCATGAAGTCGGACATCTACATCATCAAACGGATGTAACTGCGCAATCTTTTCAGATAAACAACGAATTCGCCTAGATTCACTAGCTTCATCAGTACCACTAACCCCATGAAGATTGTTACCAAACGAGCCAGTATTAGGAGAAAACGAGCCGAAAGGAGGATTGGAAATAACCTGTCCAGATTTTTCAATCAAACTAACTATGTTGTCACGAAGTTGGCTGAAGAAATTTTTTATTAACACACCAAGTTGACCCCGCTGACCTGCCATATATTGTTCTAAATCGGTGAAAAACCCGAAGAAGAAATTTCTATGCAATTTATAATTGTATCCATAAATCCGACTGAAAAACTGGTGTAAACGTCTTTTAGCTTGTTGTAAATCAGCTTGAAAAATTGCTAAGTAGAAAAATAAATAAATGAGGACTGATTAACTGTACTGTGTAGAAATAAACGATAATAAACCAAGGAGGCAAAACATTTAGAACTATTGCAGGCCATTTTCTCAGAACCACGAACAGTTATATGAGAATAAAATGTACGAAATCTTTACGTTTGATAGAATCTGAATCCATCATGACTACAATTGTTGCCTTGATAGTGGTCAGGTTTGTAAACCATGATGAGTCAATAAAGTTATATTCTTTGGACTATTTGTTCTGTAGTTCTACCATGTTGAGAGTACCTGTTGTAATGCCAAAAGTCAAACATTTTAAGTTTAACAGCGGGAGTGCACTGTCATCTGTATTAGTGTGGTTAAAGAAGGACGTTTCCTACAGACAGCCCATATTTTCACTCTACTTTCCCACATACAGAATTAGGTGTCAGAGGTTGGTTACAAAAGTAATACAACCTTTCCTTATGAATTGCTGGTGGTAGGGTATGAAAAGTATGTAGCCACGATAGAAAAAACTCACAGAGATGATATGTGTGAACGGCCTCAAAAGTGATGCACCTTGACCGTCACAGCTAGTCAATTTTTTTTCGAACCCTGCAAGAACTACTACTTTACGAAACGGGGAATGAGGACGTGTCAACTACCCGTACACATTTAACAGAACCCGAGCTAATCATATCGATAATTAAACCTCTTTCCCGTTTCTTGATAATTTTGGTTTTATTATCTACCGTTCTGCTGAGTTCGTCTTGATTTTATGTGCAATCATTGCTAACGACTCGAGCTTACAAAATGTTAGACAGGAACTTGTGGTATTTTACCACAGAGTAAAGATAACAGTGGTCGTTTACTGCATTTATGTCCAGACGCTTGTTTGTTTTTGACAAAGAGACTTTAAACGTGAAAAGAAACGTTTTCTGACCTGGAGAATGCAATATACTTGCAGAAAAAGACAGATAAACTATATCACTGTCGGTCCTATTTAGAGAGGCTGCATAAAAGACTGTTACTCCTGTAGTGTATATCTGGACTCCGACCACTCTCTGTTGTGAGCATACATTTGTCCTAGCCTTACTGCAAGGATAAAAACTGCAGCAAAAAGAAATTCTTGAGCCTGACTAAAAAAATGTAAAGAGCTGTTTTTAAGGAAAAACTGACAAGGTATTTAGTCTACTACAAGGGTGATATTCATCCTGAGAAAGTCTGGTGTAAAAATAGCATTAACCTATGTAAGCAATCAGAACCGAAAGGTTGTGAAAGACCAGTAGATTTCAGGAACCATTAAAATCATATTAGAAGGGTGTGAATACGATGAGTAGCGAAGGAATATCAATTGTGGATAAGCGGAAAGCTAGCGAAATGATCAGTAGTAATGGTAGGGTGGGAAAGTAAAGGAAATGGAAAAGGTTAAGAGTTATTCATTAAGGAGACTGTCTGAAGAAAGCGAAATCATGGTCTACTCTGAGACGAGATGACAAGAACGAAAGGCAAAACATTTGAAGGAAACGGTTCATCATACATCCGTTTCTTCATTGTTGCCAGAAGCTTCGATAGGATATGTATATTTTAGAGTAGGAAACTAACTTTAGTTAACCATTATTACTAGCTATTCAGCGTCCCAATACTTCATTGACCAGAATGGCATAAGACTTACATTCAAGCACGGCACTATCATTGCTCATTTTCCAGGCAACTTGCAACCATGAGTTGCTTTGCTTTATAAGTTGACGCTGGCCCACCGAGTACATTTCATGTTCCATACTTACATCACAACAGGAAGTACCGGTTACAGGACAAATGTTTGATGTGGGACCTTAAAAAAATCAAAATTAAAAATCATTCTATCGTACCAATAATAGTTGAGCTATGAACTCCTGTTAGCATAGTATACCGTAATTTCATCCATTCTTGTTTAAAGATAGTGCAATCAAGAGCATATGCTGATGTGCACAACGTCACTATTAGTAAAATGCTACAGGAAGTTCGCATAACTTCAAAGTTAGTCATTGTAGAAGCACTTTATGAAGAGCAACAGTAATAAGAGCAGGAATACAGGGAACACTAGTGGTTCATAATGATAAATGCTAAAAGAGAAATAAAAATATAGACAAATAAATGATGTTAGAAACCCAAACTTTTTCGTAGGCTGCTTAGTAAATTAAACTAATCACGTACTCGAATGTAATTTAACTTTGTGTTTACTGAAAGACTGGTCATTTAAATACTGAGATATCGTGTTAAGTTTCAAATGATATCTCCAACTTATAAAGCACTATAATAAAAAAAATGCACTAAGTATTAGTGTCCCAGTACAGTACTTATTCATGTTAAGCGATAGAGTCGCTTAGAAATGAAATAATAACAACTTAAACGAAAGATGTATTGGGTTATTAACGGTTCAAGAACAAAATAAATATGAAAGACGGTCTTCAAGTTCACAACTTAGGAAACTATCTATTGTTAGGACACAAGGCTATTTTCTCTGTTATGTATAACACTGATTAGTTGGTGAGATCGCTTTAATGAAGTAAGAGTCTATTTGCGTACTTATCAGAAATACCTAGAACTGATCTGTTTTTCAGGTATAGAGGCTAGTGATATCTGAAAGTAAGGTACTTAACAGGAATTTTTTGTTAGCTTGTTTACCAACTTTCAGTTATCTGAAGTTTCAATAGTAAAACCGTTTTCCCGAATGACCTGATATTGATCCTAGATTTAACAGTTACTAAAATAGAACGGAAATCACGTTGAACTCCAGACTGGGTGTCAATCTACAGGACCTTGAACGTAATGATTGACCGAATGCTAACTAAAATCACTTAGAGCTTTTGAAAATAATTATTTGATGAGAACTGAATTTATATTAGTTTTTACGCATAAGCGGTTCATTTTGGTCTACAGAATGAAAAGGTATTTTCAAGTTTTTAGAGCAAACTACCCATAAAGAACCATTTTCCATTAAACGAAGTAAGAGAGTGACAGATTAATACACTAGAGGATACTTCAACTTTCAAAAGAAACAGTCTTGAATTCATAAGACTCGACAACTTTATGAGAAGGTAAGTTCTTGGAAAACAGATGGAGTTTAACACACATTTTATGGTCATCTTTGAGGATGTCAGTAGTAACCTAAACAGAGTACCAACACAACTACTGTGGAGTGTGTAGATAACTGTCCTGTCAACAGGATGATGCAGCTTTAGTAGAAATCGTCAGGAACAAAATTTTCAACAAATAGTTTGTTGAGATGTCTTTTGAAATAACAGACATTGTTATACTGTAAAATACCAGGTGATCAAGCAATTGACAAAGGGTGAATAGACAACTAGCTGAGATAAGCCCAATTGATGCTATAAGATTCGAAACTTCTTTTAATTAGCATAGACTCGCTTTTTGGTTGAAAATATTCAGTAGCAAGTAATAAGGTGGCCTCATTTTCAAAGACTGCTACAATATAGATAATACGATAAAACATTAAAATAGGTACTTCGTTCACAACGATAACTTGGAACCCCCCAAAGAGATATAACAATTCATTATTTAAGTACTCTGCATTTATTAAGCATACGCTTTTGCCTTAAGGCAGTATGACGAAGGAACGCAACAACAATCGTGGAGTAGAAACTAAATTATACCCACATGAATGAGATATGTTCACGGTGAGCTTGATATGAGTGAAACTAATGTCTTTTTGAATGTCATAGCTTCGTAGTTTTGGTCTTCTAATGTGATCAGTTATTTTCATGAAGATCTGTGGTGAAAGTGGAAGTAAATATGATAATGTTTATGAACGCACAACTTTACTAGCCACCATATACAACGATATGGCCGAGGTTGGAGAGAGTTAGCTATCCCTCTAGAAATTCTCTAATATGGCCACGTGTATATAATCACTGCCAGTGAAGTGTAGCTCAGTCTTCTTGTGGCTGTATTGTTTGCGATATTGAGAGGTCGAAGAGTGAGTAGCCAGCCAGTAAACCGGATTATTGAGAAGGGAGGGTTCTCTCAAGGAAATTCAAAAACCCTCATGAGCCCTTTTGTACCAATATCTGTGTTTAGATAAACAAATAAGTAATTTTCCGGACGTTGGTAGGCATATGAAATGAGATATAAGTACAGGAAGTCAAGACCAAGGTTCAATTGGTCACAACTTTTCGTAAAACGCAATGTGTTGAATAACCCAATTAGAAGAAACGAAGTAAAAGACAGATAACAGGCCTAAAATAAACTAGGAAAAAGCAACGATCAGTTAGCTGACTACTAAGTGTTATAAGTCACGATGCAAATCATATGACAAGAACGTACATATGTTTCTAACCGGTCTTTTAAAAGTCAACTAATTCAGTTTGTGAGAAAATTGAGCACGTATTTCTGAAAAATACATGGAAATTATTAAAATAAGACAACCCTAAACAATGTAACAGAACCACCTAATGAGAGGACGCAGAAGTACTATGAACCACTGCTATCCACTTAAATTTGGAGATAGAAAATAAATAGCCACAAAAACCTAAGATGTATAACTCACCAAAACGGCCCAGTCCATAAAGCCCACTTAGTCCAAGAAACCTTGACGCTCCGTTGGTCAGTGAACCATATAAACAAATTAAAATAACATAAATACTCATGATCGTAAGATAATAATGACAGTGACCAAGTCTTGCGAACAGTAGCTATTCTACAGATGTTGAACAGTGCCGGTTACTGATGGCTACGCTGAATGGACGTACATAACTAAGCAATAGGTTTCCAGTGTCATGTCATTCATGTTTTACAACTTATAAACTATCTCTATTATGTTGACTTATGTTTTGAGATACTTTATAAGTGTTTGCAAATGCAATTACCTCGTAGTTATTGCTTCGTAAGCTTGATTCGGATTTAAAGTCATACTTTTTCAGAAACTAAACATTTCGAATATGTGAGATAGTCGATGAGGGCTAGGAAAATCCCATACAGTTTCACCGATACGCCATTAGATATATTATTGTTTCACTTATAGAACGAAACATCAGGGGTGTCACTATCATCTCTGAAGGATCCTATGGATTTGCATTAATATACAACGCCCGATGGTAGAATCACAAGGAATGGATCTCTATGGGAACCCTGGATAAAATTCAAGAAAGGAAGAACAAGAAACTAGCAATTAACAACAGCCGAACACGAGCAGAGAAAGTCAAAGCACAAGCAGACTACGCAGAAGCAAACAGGGAAGTGAAGAAAAGCATTAAAGCCGACAAGCAGAAATACATGGGAGAACTAGCAACGACGGCGGAAAAAGCTGCAAGAGAAGGGAATATGAAACAACTATATGATACAACGAAGAAGGGGGGCAGGGAGATATAGCAAACCAGAGAGACCAGTCAAAAACAAAGAAGGAAAGACAATCACTGATATTCAAGAACAGAGGAAAAGATGGGCAGAATACTTCGAGGAACTGCTGAATAGACCAGCCCCATTGAATCCACCGAACATCGAAGCAGCCCGCACTGACCTCCACCAACGATCGAGGAGGTCAAGATGGCCATCAGACAAATCAAAAGTGGGAAGGCGGCAGGACCTGACAATATACCAGCAGAAGCACTGAAGTCAGACATTGAAATAACTGCAAACATGCTTCACCTTCTATTCAAGAAGATTTGGGAAGAGGAACAAGTGCCAACGGACTGGAAAGAAGGATATCTCATCAAGATACAAAAGAAAGGAGATCTGAGCGAATGTGAGAACTACAGAGGTATCAGTTTGTTATCAGTACCAGGAAAAGTTTTCAACAGAGTGCTGCTGAATCGGATGAAAGACGCAGTAGGCGCCGAACTTAGGGATCATCAGGCTGGATTCCGTAAGGATCGGTCGTGCACAGACCAGATTGCGACACTACGGATCATCGTTGAACAATCAGTTGAATGGAACTCACATGATAATTAGAAGTATTTGAATTGTAGTATAAACTAGTAATCCCAGGAATAACGCAATTTAATCAAGAAGTATCAGATGAGCCCGAACGAATGTATTGTATTTGGAATTCAAAATTACAACAGTCATCGATACGAAGAAGTCATTGATTTATTTAAACATCACATCCGCCACAGCTCGAATTGGAGTGTAAGTGTCTGTAATCCATTGCTCGTCTTCTTCTTAAGTTCATCTTGCATCTGTCCGATGGTGTATTGGATGTAGACTCTGTATTATCTAGAATGCACTCATTAGTATTAGAATTAACAACCGAAATTGGAACAGACTCACCTGGATTCTGGTATTGTATTTGATCAACATGTCTGTTATGTATAGTCAAGTCATTGATATCCAGAATTCGCACCATAGATTTTCCAATATTCTTCACCACAATCCCCGTGGCTGGTCGAAGATCATTACCACGATAATATGTAACTTCTGCAGACTCCAAACACCTCATATTCGAGCGGAGAATTCTTCCTTTTAATAGCTTTGATGGAGTCTCTTTCGTCACAGAATGCTTAGCATTTCTATATTGAAGTAGAAATGTATCTACTCCCCTCTCCAGTTCATGAAATGTCGAAGCAGCAATAGAATCAATAGCAAATTTCAATGTTCTTACGAAATTTTCTGCCTGACCATTGGAACAAGGGTGCCTGGGAGCCGTAAACAGATGTCTGCACCCTATACCATTTAACCAATTAGTGACTGCATCTGCAGCGAAATGAGAGCCATTATCAGTCACCAACACCATGGGAACTCCTTCTCGACTAAACACCTTCCTTAATGCTTGAATTGTGAAGTCAGAATTCGGTGAAGTTGTGAAAAAAACTTCAGGCCACTTAGAAAAAGAATCAATAATTACAAGTGCATAGTATTTGCCAAGAAATGGACCACAGTAGTCTGCATGAATTCTCTGCCAGGCCTCAGACGAAACTGGCCATGGAGTCCACTTCGAAGGCAGACTTTTCAGCTTATGACATTTCTCACAATTGTTTGCTGTACGACATATATCTACATTTATCTCTGGCCACCAACATGTGAGTCTTGCTAAGGACTTCATTTTCTCAACACCAAGATGTCCACTATGAAGATCATCAAGGACAGGTTTGCGTAATGAAGGAGGAATAACAACACGATCATTTAAACACAAAATACCGTCAGGAGTAGTAGATAACTCGTCCCGCTTTGAATAATAGACAGGAAATCTACGTTTCAAATTAGCATTCCAACCCTTCCGTATAGCACTGAGTATACATCCAAAGTATCTACGAGATTCTCTAATGAGATCTGGACGTCTCACCGGTAAAGGTTGCACTAACAAGCAGTCTGAAGTATTAACAGGTCTATCTTGTAATGGTTGTCGAGAAATGTAGTCAACGTGTTGAATTGGTTTTGCACTCCTGTGCTGAATCGTATAGTCATAAGCACTCAAAGCAATACTCCATCGTTGAACCATAGCAGCTGAGGAACGTGCTAAGGATTTGTCAGGATGATAAATGAACTTTAAAGCTTCATGATCAGTAACAATGGTAAACTTCTTTCCAAATAAATATTTATAAAGTCTTTTAACAGCCCAAAACACAGCTAACGCTTCTCGCTGCGTTTGTGAATAACCTTGTTCAGAAACAGAAAGTTTGCGTGAAACACATATAACTGGCCTACCTTCCTGTTCCAAAACTGCACCAATACCTACAGGTGATGCATCAGTAATAAGAACAGAATGTACACTGGGTGAGTAAGTTCGAAGAACAGCATCACTTTGAAGAAACTTTAGCAAACTTCGTAGGCATGACTCTTGTTCTTCACCCCATTTGAATGAGTTGGATGTCAAAACATTAAATAAACAATTGGCACGACAAGAAAAATTAGGAATAAAACGAGAATAGTACTGAAGAGCACCCAATAGTGACTGTAATTCTGTGATATTTTTTGGAGACGGTGCATTTGTCAGTGGGGCTAGTCGTTTCATATCTGGTCTAAAACCATTACCATCAACTAGGTATCCAAGGCATTCAAAACTGGATACACTAAATGAACATTTATTTGGATTCACTGTAATATTCTTCTCCATTAAACGACCCAATAAAGCAATAAGTCTCTGGTCATGAACTACTTTATCAGCACCATGAACAATGAGATCATCTTGATAAACTTCAACACCTTCAATATCGCTGACTATCTTATTCATGACCTCTTGAAATATGGCTGGAGAACAACTAAGACCAAATGGAAGGAAGTTGTATTTGAACAGACCAAAAGGAGTGTTAATTGTTGTCAAGATAGATGAAGATTGATCTAAAGGGATTTGAAGATAAGCATCTTTCAAGTCAACTTTCGAGAACACTTTAGAACCATGAAGTCGATTTAGAATATCTTCAGCCTCCATCGTCATGCATGTTTGCTTCAACAAACGGGAGTTCAGTGTTAATCTGTAATCACCGCATATTGTAGGGGTCTTGCCATCCGACTTCAATGGCGTAACAATAGGAGTACCCCATGCTGAGGACTGAACTGGTTCAATTATACCTTTCGCACACAAATCATTCAGTGACTTATGTACTGCTTCTCGAAGACCATAAGGAATTATTCATCTTTTAAGAAAGACCGGATCACCCTGTACTTGAAGTTTTATGGGCTGAATTTTCATACCTCCACTACACTTAGCACACACAGCTATCAAATCCATGAGTAAAGCATCAGAATTCTCTGTAGAAACTAGTAGAGACAATTCCACTTTAAGCCTTTTCAGATTTTTTAAACCCAGTATGAACAGTCCTGTTTCACTAACTAAAAATTCACAAAGTACGTATGAAGAATTATCATTTCTTATTAGCAATCTACAACATCCTCGTATAGGTAGTCTGTGTCCAGTAATCCCCAGTATTGAGACCTCAGTGGGTTTTACCACAACATTAGGATCTGAAGATTTCAAGTTCTTGACTGAAACTATGGACTCTATACTACCTGTGTCCACAATAAAGTCATGAAATGAACCAAGGGATGTATATAATCGCTTTTGAATATGAACATTCCCTTTTGAAGTGGTGGATAAAGATAAATGATCATTAAGAACAGCCGAATTATTGGGATCTAAGTTACCGGACTTAGTAATACTTGAAGCAAAGTGAACAGTAGTTTTGCACACTGACTGAATGTGTCCTATCTTGCCACATTTAAAACATTTAGCATTACGAAATGCACATGAATTACGAGAATGAGAGATAAGCATTTACCAAACTTATTCTCACCTTTGTTGTTTGCTTTGCAGTTCCTTGTTAAACCACCTTTCATATTTCCACGGAAATAGCAATCACGATTAAACGAACGCAAATTTGATCGACCCTGAGATTGTATTTCATCATGACGACTAAGCAAAGTATTAGAAATTTTCATCGATTGAATATCAAGTTCATTCACTGCTTCGTAGTTAATACATGCAGTTCTAGCATCTTGAAAAGAACAGTTCGGCATTCTTAAAAGCTTCTTTTCCAGACCTGGTATGTTAATTCCAGCAATTAATCGATCTCTCGGCTGTACATGAAGTTGATCACCAAAATTGCATTTTGAAGCGTGTCTTTGCAATTCAAGGATGAAGTCCTTAACCTTCTGGTTATCCTGACG